CATTGGCCCGGGATGGTGAACCGCGGCCAGTGGGCGCCGCGATCGGCCAAACCTGCCGTGTCAGCAGGTAAAGAAAACTGGCCCGGCCCGCCAGGGTGCTTACCCTGGCGAGCCGCGTGCTGAACGTTGCCGACCCCTGCTCTAAATTTACAAATAGGCAAAGTAAGAAAAATGCTGCTTGAGAACTTCTTAGGGTTTGTTTTAAGGATATTTACTTCGTATGTTTTGACCTGTGATGTTGAGAATTTGTGTATTGATGGTTATAAAGTTTTAACTTTTTGAACCTCATCATCTACTGTCATTAAATAATTAATGTGCCACCCTGTTTTCCGATTCCCCCCCCCATTTCTTTCAACTGTGAAAATTTAAATGGATAAAAATTGGAAAAAATCCTTAAAAGCCAACATAATAAAAATTGAATTCTACCAAAACTACTTATAAACTATTTAGTTTAACTGAGGTTGCTTTTGTTTTGACTGATTGCAGATCAGATTTGCATACCAATTAGATGTGCACCTGCTGTGACAGCACACACAAATTGGTTAATTGTACAAACAAATATACCTTTTTGGTTGCTGGCACATGCAATCATTCATTTGCCTGGATAATCATAGAAATTGCATGTGCAAATCAGATGTGTATTTGCATGGGCAATGACCCTGTAGCTTTTGTATTAAAATCTGACTTCCACGCTCACCAGAAAGAAAATATGAGCATTTTATGAATAGCCTCATATGTCTGGACGGTGTTCTTTACTTTTCATTTTTACATTTTTGCCCCTAAATTGTTTAGATCACAGAACAATTTGTTGCCATTTTATAATTATTTTTAACCTATGAAATTGGGTTTTATTTTGCTCTGTCGTTTGTGCTCTTACGCCCTATCAAAGCTTGTCCCACTGGAAGACTCGCCCTCTAGTATTTATTAACACCAAGGATTGGGAGAGTGTCACATAAAAACCACAACACTGCAATTCATTTTTAAAAATTAGAACAACTTGATGCATGAATGAAAATAACTGTAAGGGGCACTAGATGGGGAGGGCTCTGAGTTACTACAGACAATTCTTTCCCAGGTGTCTACCTGGCAACATCTTGCCTATATGCTCAGGGTCTAAATGGTCACCATATTTGGGGTCAGGAAAGTATTTTCCCCCAGGTCAGATTGGCAGAGACCCTCGTGGGGTGGGGATTTGCTGTCCCCTGCAGCATGGGGCCTGGGTCAGTTGCAGGTTTAAACTAGTGTAAATGGTGAATTCTCTGTCACTTGAAGTCTTTAAACCATGATTTGAGGACTTCAGTAACTCAGCCAGAGCTCAGGAGTCTGTGATAGGAGTGGGTGGGTGAGGTTCGGTGGCCTGTGATGTGCAGGAGGTCAGACTAGATGATAACAATGGTCCCTTCTGACCTTAAAGTCGATGAGTCTAAGTGGAGGTAAAGATATGCCACTGGGGGTTCAGTTTACCTATGGCCTGGCATTGAGAGTTCTTAACGTATCTCTACACTACAGCTACTACCACAGCGCAGCTACGGCACTGCAGCTGTGCTGCTGTAGCACTGTAGCGTAGACGCTTCCTACGCTGGGATTTTTCCATTGATGTAGTTAATCCACCCACCTGCCCAAGACGTTATCGCTAGGTTGATGGAGGAATTCTAGCCACAGCTACACAGCGGGTTAGTGGACCTAACAAAGTCACACAAGGCATGACATTTTTCAGAGCCATGTGACTAGGTCAATCCAATTTTTAAGTGTAAACCAGGCCTTAGAAGGCACTTGGGGACTGGCTGTAATCTGTAGTGGGGCAGCTACTGCAATTGCACAAGCTTTGGGCCTCATCTCCATTCAGAAGTTAAATCGGTGTAACTGTGTCAGTTAGAGGAGTGGGTTTTGTTTTTGTTTTCACCAATACAGCTAGGCCAGTCCAAGCGTGGATGCAATTATACAGTATAAAGGTATACTTACACTGGTATGGTGATTCCCTTTCCTGTATGGGAATAGCTAGAGTAGTATACAGCACCTTTATACCAATATAATTGCATCTAGAGGGGAAGTACTGGTCTAATTATACAGCCATAACTACTTTATAGTATAGACAAGGCCTCAGTTACTACACTTTACACCTAAGACTTCTCAACAGGTATCTGTGCTGCTGTCAGAAACTTTACACGTCTCGGGCATATTGCATTCACGTGTTTGTTTTTTCCTTCTGGTTTTGAACAGGCTGCTGAACAATAATTTGATCAAACAAATTGCAAGAAGGTCCTTTGAAGCTCTGCAGAACTTGAAATATCTGTGAGTTGGCACCTCTAAATCCTATAAAATCCAATAGCTTCTATAACTCTGCCAGTCAAGTGCATACTTTGTTTGCCAGATCTTCTAGATGGCATTGACATAAGTATATCCCAGCTCACATCCAGTGAGAACACACCAGCTGGGTCCAGCTTTATAGCTCTTTTCTGTGTATCTTGAATACAGCAATGTCCAATGATCCTAATGCTTCACATTTCTCTGTTCTCCTCTCTCCCCAAAGCTACCTGTACAAAAATGAAATTCAGAGTATCCAGCAACATGCCTTCAAGGGGCTCCATTCTCTGGAACAGCTGTAAGTACAAAAGAGCTCTGTTTGCTGCTTGGGAATATGATTCACTTTGGAAACCCTCACTAAGACACCTCTGAACTGCTACGCATGGCACTTAAGACCGATGACAGGACTTCAAGAAGGGTTGGTCCTTCCACACTGACTGGTCAATGCTGAAGACTGTTCTTACTTTCATTCAGTTGCCCATGGCCCCAAGGGATATTCCAGCAGCTGGAGATCCCTGTAGTGTAGGAATGCTCTGGCCATGCTTCCCTTTCCCTCCTTTTCCCTCGACAGTTTCCTTGTGCTGGGAGGTGATGGGGAAGTGTGGGAGCCACTAGAAGATCTTTATCCTAAGTGGGGCAGATCTTTACAGAGCAGGGCCCAGTATCTGGCCCTTTGTTTGAATTTTGGGGATAGGCTCAGTTTTTCTTTTATCCAATCCAGCTCATCTATTGCTGGAAGCAAATGGGCGAAGCGAACAGGCAGTATTGTTGAGTATTTATAGCAACTGTCGATACTGTGGTGTTTGAATGCATTAAAATGGCTGCTGAAGTCCAACTTTGAGGTACCAAACAATAGAAAAACTTTCAGACCATGCCTCCTGGGATGCCCCGGGATGATGGGAGCCTACACTCTGTCTAGCTACTGGAGCCTGTAATGATGTTTCAGTATTCTGTAATGGTGCCCTCTCTGGCCATAGCTAATTGCTCTCTTTGTCAGTTAAAGCCATTTTTCTTTCCAACTGTCAGCACTTCATGGCCAAAGTGGTATAAGAAAATCAAGGGGTAAATCTTCCAAAGCATCCTCACAAGTTGGGATGGCTTTGTGCGTGCGGGGGGGGGGGGGGGAGGGGGTGGTTCATGAGAAATCCCTGGTGCGGGTGTGCATGTGCCCATGCACAGTGAGGGATTGTGAGCATAGCGGGCAGGAGGACAAAAACTACTTGAACATGCTGGTGGATGCAGCCAACGGTGAGTCCTTTCTGCCTTGTGCATCATCACCAGCAACCAAGGTTCTGGAGCTGGAACATAACTGGCTACTTTGCTGTATGAGGAACAATAGGATTCAACTTGCTCTCTGCAGTGCTGACCGTACTAAATGTATCTAATACCTTTTCCTCCTCAATAAGCTCAGCAGAAAGGTTGAGAAGACTCCTGGGGAGCAGATACTGTACGTGCTGTAGCATAGGGGCTCTTTTTAGAGATACACTTCTAGCCACAACCACATTTTAACAATGAACAAACTAGATTTGGTGTCAGAGGGATAAAATCCCCCATCTGTTTCAAATCCTTGAAACAGGCTTTTCTCCAAGCAAATTGGCCTTGCTCAAATCCATCCCACAAGCCAACTTTTCAAGTAAAACTAAAACCGGTTTGATGGACAGTATCCGCTGCTTTCCTTCAGAGGAATGAAAGCACGCAACTGAGACTTATTAAAACAAACTCCAGGCTATAGAATCTGAGTCACAGTGGTTGGTCTTTATTCTGATAGAAGATTGGCTATCAAGATTCATTCCATTACGAACGGAACAGCTGCACGCTGGCTTTTGCAATCGTTTCTCGAACCAGTTGGATGCCACTGGTAGAACATAGACTTGTAGAGTTATCAGGGATCACCACTGGAGCTATGCTTGGGTGACATAAGGGGAGGAGGCTACTCCTGCCACTTTGATATTTAGGTATTTTTCCTAATCATTTCAGAGCAGTGCTAATGTTGTGGGTTGATGTAACAGCTAATTGGCGGGGGGGAGGGTGTGGAACCTTGATTATCCCTGTCTCTGTATGTTTGTTGTTAGGCGCTCCTTCATCCCATCCATGCAAAAGGTTCCACTAGAACCCTGTACCATTGGATGGCAGACGTGGCTTGGAATGTTAGTGGAGCCGAGAACATCAGCCCGGAATTAATACAGTTTGGCAGAGCTGGGTTGCTCATGTTAAGCACAGGTCAAACTTTTGCCACTCCATTGAACCATTCCCCTCTAGGGAATCCCTTCCTCAGTGCCACTTCTACTGTCATTGTTTGACAGGTTTAAACTAGAATCAGTGGTAGATTCTCTGTAACTTGAAGTCTTTAAACTTTGAGTTACTGAAGGTAACAAATCAGCCAGAGGTCATGAGTCTATTACAGGAGTTGGGTGGGTGAGGTTCTGTGGCCTGTGATATGCAGGAGGGCAGACTAGAGGATCACAATGATCCCTTCTGGCCCTAAAGTCTATGAGACGGCTATCCTGACTATGGTGGGGGTGTATAAACCCGCACCAGCAGGGAAAGGATTAAGGGGCTGTTTGGGCTGGAGTAGCTAAGTCATGCCAGGAATGCAGAAGGAGTTTAAAAGGCAGAAGCTCCGCTCAATAAGAGGCAGCCCAGGAGGGGAGCAGGCTGTTAAGTTTCCCAGCTCTCCAGAAGATGTCTGAGAGCGAGTGGAACCTCTGCCCTCACAAATGGGGAGCACAGATCCCCTGAGCTAAAAGGATGAAGAGATTGTATCCTGTGACTTGCGCTGGAGACCCAGTGGACTCTGGCGTGGACTGTGGCCCATCCAGGGCCCCTTTGAGGAAAGCGGCCGATAACCTGGCTAGCACTGCCCCCGGATTTTGTTTTTTCTTTGCCCCTTTGTTTAACTTCTTTTGCTGACTTTGGGTTTTGTTCATTTCACTTGAGACCCCACAAAGGGGAGAAATAGCCAGAAAGTCTCAGCTGGAGAGCTGAGAGCCCACTGCCACGAAACCATCACGGAACCCTTCCCCTAGGCAGGCTGGACTTACACCAGTGCACTTTCCAAGTAACATCCAAACGGGGCGCTCTGATGAGGACAGATCCTTGACACCGACCTTGTGTCTTCCGGGTGTTGGGGCGGGGGGGCCTATGTAAGGCTACGTCTCCCCTTCCCCCAGTCTTGCAAAGGACCACCCTATACAGATGCTAGGGAATGCTTTAGGTAGCAGGAGGGAGGAGGGGAAAGCCCTGTACTGTTGCAGCCACTAGCTCCAATGACAGCAGCTTCAGAAGAACCACATAAAGCTCAGCCCAGGTTAATAGGGTCTCTCTCTGAAGCTATAGTACAATAAGTTGGTGGTGGTGGTGTTTCTAGGACTAAGGGGAGAGCTTTGAAAGTCTGGCCTATGGGGTTTTTTATGGTTCGGTAGGGTAGAATTGTTGACAGCTGACAGAAGTTTCTTGGAACGGATAGATCGGGCATGATTTCCCAACCCGGGCTGGTTTTGCACATGCAAATTGCAGATACAAATGTGAAGACCGTCTTCTGAAAATCTGCCCTTGACTGTGCACTGGCTGATTGACTGGTGGACGTTTGTCTGAACCACTCTCCTGCGGTGAGCTGTTGTCCAGCCTCGTAAGTCCGTTTTTATAACACCATCCCTTGTGCTTTTCTTTTTGTGCCAGTTACCTTCATTTCAACAACCTGGAAACCTTGGAGCCAGAAACCTTTAGCGACCTGCCCAAACTGGAAAGACTGTAAGTGAAGAGCAAGGGGGACTCCCTTGCTCACAACTCTCTTGACTTCTCATCATGTGGCCCACTGGAAGAGTTTCCATCTTGGGTGATGGGCAGGAAAGTTTCTGAAGCTTTAATTTCAGGATCTGATTTCTTCTGCTTCATTTCCATGGAGCAAAGCCGGGCCTCTAAAATTAAGGGAGACCTGGAAATGAGTTTCCTCAAATCAGAAGACTTTAGGTCCTTGCAAAACAGAAAGGTGGGTGAGAATATTAGGGGCTCTTCTCAGGATGTATTCTGTGCATTCTGACACACACACAACGGGGTGAATCCACCGCTAGCCCTGTAACTGGTCAAGCCATATTAGAATGCTATGATTTTACACTTCTTTTCAGGTCAACATTAGTCAACTCTTGGCACCAATGCCGGAACGGGGTGGGGGAGGGCAAGGGGCCATGCCCCCCCCCTTTTTAACATGGGCATAGTTTGGAGGGGTGGGGGGGCTTTGCCCCCCAAACTGCAAGCCTTGGGCAGGCTCGAAGCAGTGCCGGCAGGGGCTGCGCATCCCAATGGGGGAGCTGATCACAGTGCTGCAGGTGCCAGACAGCAGCTGGTGGGAAGGGCAGGAGGAGGACAGGCTGCATGGCTGGTTCCCAGTGAGCTACGTGCAGCTGCTAGAGGTAGGAGACCGGCTGCACCAAGTGCTGGAGAGAGGGGGGCGCAGGGGGCTAGGTCCATGAGGGAGTGCAGGTTAGGAGAAAAGGGGGCTCAGGAGAGACATGGGGAAGGGGCGCAGAAATCCGCCTTGGCCCCCCCCACTTCTACAAAGATTCTGGCTTCCTTGACTCTTGGGCAGTCTGCATGAGAAAATGAGAGGGAAATGCAGTCAGAAAAAGATAACAAGAAAAATGTGTGTAATGCCCTAGAATGGCTAGAGAACTAAAACTTTCCTTTCCTACTCCCCAGTACTACTTAAAGGAACAACATCGCAGCCAGAACAAGTCAAGTGGAGGTTCACATTCCACCTTCAGTTCAGCAAGCCCTCTCTACATTGGCAAACAAATGTGCTTTACATCCACAAACACTAGAAAGAGGCCCCAAGAAAAAGCCAGGATTCAAACATCCCTGAACTTTAGGATAATCGGGACCTGGATCAAGAGGTTCTAGCTGATCTTTGTAACTTAACAAACTAAAACCCTGGATCTAAATTTCAGGGAAGTTAAAACGCTGCATTTAAACCTCAAATCGAAATTGTGAGGCATGGCTGAACTCTAGGGCACCCATGCACGCATTTCACACACTAGGCTGCCTGTATATTCCTTTCCTGGTCCATTGTTTAATACGGTGAGTTACTCACTAGCATCTGCCAATTTTCCTTTGTTCTGAATTTTAGATATGGCTGCAGACCTCCTCCCAGTAATCATAGACTAATTATTCCATCTTGCTCCCCACCTATGCATGGGGGAAGGGATAGCTCAGTGGTTTGAGCATTGGCCTGCTAAACCCAGGGTTGTGAGTTCAATCCTTGAGGGGGCCATTTAGGGAACTGGGGTAAAAATCTGTCTGGGGATTGGTCCTGCTTTGAGCAGGGGGTTGGACTAGATGACCTCCTGCGGTCCCTTCCAATCCTGATATTCTATGATTCTATGATTCATACTGGTGTAACTAACTTCCTGTTCTTCTAAGAACCAGGAGTCTTGAACCATATGTCTCAGAACCTGGAGCTGAACTTTGGTTTTATCTAGAAATAGGTCAAGGGGCTGGTGTTGGATCTGTACTAGATTTAGGATAGGGTTTGGGTTCAGGTTCAAGGTCCCGTTGATTCTAGGATCAGGTTTGGGTTTAGATTTTTAAGGGCACTGGGCTAAAATGAGATGTCTGCCTCCTTGCGTTGACATCTTATAGTAATGGCTGCTCTCGCAAAATTTCAGCAGTATCTGAATACATCCATCCAGAGGTCCCTTCTGGTTTTGGATCTAAGCTAGAAACAAAATGCTTGGGATGGGTCCAATCCTAGAGATTCAACCTCTTCCTCCCTGCCCCTTGCAGAATTTGAAGTGGTGTTGATTTAAGAATCTGGTTTGGGGACTTTTTTATTTCAAATCCTGAGTCACTGTTTCTAGTACACATTCAGCATTTGATGTTGCATATTGCATTGTGTTCACAAGCAAATTAACAATATCCCTATAGCTCCTAGAGAGTATCAAAGTATCATATACATACACACACACACACACACACACACACACTAAAGTTTGCACATCAGCAAGGTTTTGGTGACCAATCTTAACATTTAAACTGAGCCTTGACCTGGGACGTTATCTGTATAGTATAGAACAGGGGTTGGCAACCTTTCAGAAGTGGTGTGCCGAGTCTTCATTTAGTCACTCTAATTTAAGGTTTCGCGTGCCAGGAATACATTTTAACGTTTTTAGAAGGTCCCTTTCTATAAGTCTATAATATATAACTAAACTATTGTTGTATGTAAAGTAAATAAGGTTTTCAAAATGTTTAAGAAGCTTCATTTAAAATTAAATTAAAATGCAGAGCCCCCTGGGCCGGTGGCCAGGACCCAGGCAGTGGGAGTGCCACTGAAAATCAGCTTGCATGCCGCCTTCGGCACACGTGCCATAGATTGCCTATCCCTGGTATAGAATTCTGTATAACACTTTGGCACTCTTGATATCCCCATTGCAGATTCTTGCACAACAACAAAATTTCCAGAATTCAGCCAGGAACCTTCTCTCAACTGGAATCCCTCAAACGGCTGTAAGTGGACAACATTGCCTGCAAAGAACAATTGTTTTGTCTTTTATCACATGGCCAGGACCTAGAGACCAATTTGACTGGCTGACAAAGGTTCCAGTTAATGTAGTTCTGGGACAACTGTTACGTCTAGTACACTGTTGTGGTAGCCACGCACAAGAGAAGACTTAACCAGTTAGTGGGTTCTTCACTTTGGTGACTCAAATTGCTGTAGTGCCTTCTGCACAACGCTGCAGCTGAGGGTCCCTCTTAGGGCTCAGTCCTACAAAGTGCTCAGTCCCCTCCACTCCCATAGCATGGTTGAGCTCATTGAAGTCAATGAAATGACTCTGCTTGTTAGCCATCCTGGGTTCCTTAGATAGATACACTCAGTGAAAGGAGAAATATAGCGGTAAGAAAAGTCTTTTAGTATTTTTTATAGGGACTTGCGATATAACCTTGTGCTTCACTACACAGCCAAGGAGCATGGTTATCTTGCAACAAACACAAAGCTTATCATGTGGTGTTCTTCACTTAACCTGGCTTTCTCCTGGTTTTCTCTTTCTTTCACTTAAAAATCCCTCAGACCTTAGAGTTATTTGTTGTTATGATCTTAGGAAATGAACAGGGTGAAAAGTTTTGTGCACAAATCATGGGGTTCTGCTATAATTGAAAAATCTGTGGTAGGATCATGTTTCCCCATTCCGCTCCAGCCTTCTCTACATTTGCTGCCCGCAGAAAAAACTCCTTCTCGTGTTGCATAATAATAATAATAATAATTTATAAGAAGTTGTAAAATTTTGCCCCAGTGTCAAGGATGAGTGAGATGTTTGCAAAATATGGTTACATGGTATGAATTTTTGTACTACCAAATATTTGTTTAATGAAGCACTGTACCCTTTTTCATTTTTCTTATGCAATTTTCACAAAGTGAAACCCAAGAACCTTCCACAGCTGAACTTCCAAAAGGGAATGTGGTATAGTCTAAAGTTTTCTTCGGTCTCCTTTAGCCCTGCACCTAGAGTTAACCCTAGTAATGAGATCTTCAGGGAAGAAAGGACAGAATGGACTGAGATACCATTACTCCCATCTCCCAAGGGTGGGGAATGGGTTACAGAGATGAAAACTCCTCTCCAGTCATGGCAGCATATGCTATAGAGCATCTAGCACTGGGCGTACCAAGCAACTGATCCAAAGCACATTAAAACGAATGGGAATCTTTCCACTGGCTTCAGTGGGCATTGAATTAGACCAAAGAATTGGAACGTTAGATTGGTGGTGTTATTCCTTATATAGTAATCTGAAATTTTATACCGCTGTGCTCCTTTGTATGGGCACAATACGAACCCACAAACTGTTTAGATGTAAAAATGTGTCCATAACATTTGTGCTTGTATTTGTGGTCCCACAAATGAATTGTGGACACCAATATTGGTAGCTGGACAGTTAGTGAACTGATTTTCTAGTTTCAGACCAGATGAAATATCTGCGTAATGGGCAGTGGTGCGTATTCTAACTATCCAGTTATAATTTGGAACGAACAAGCATGGGGAGCTAAAAAAGGATTTCTACCTTCAGCAGTTAATAGTAGAGCTGAACAAAAACTGGAATTTCCATCCTGCAGGAAATTGATATTTCAACATTTGTTTTTATCCCAAATCAAGACACAAAGTTAAAATTAGATCTGGTTGGAAAATGCAGTTCAGTCAAAATCAAAATGCTTCAAGAAATCGTGTCAATTTTGCTAATGTTTCACTTCAGGGAAGAAAACAGGAGGGAAAGTCTTAAAATGTCGAAATGTCCCATTTTGACATTTTGGAATGAAACGTTTTAATTTTTTATTTTGAATATAAAGATACATTTGAATGAAGTTTTGAATCAACTTTTGATTTTGAATTTTGTTTATTTTATATCATATTATATATGATAACAAAATAAAGTCGAAATCTTAACTAATTACTTAGATCTATCTAAAACATTTTTTAAGAGTTTTTTCTTTTGCAGAGAATTTCTAGATTTTTGGCTGAATTGGAATGAAAACAAATTTTGAAATCACAAAATCCTGAATGAAACAAAATTTACATTGTCTGCATAACTCTAGGTGAAATCTCAAACTTTTTCATGGAATGAAAAGTTCTGAAATATTTAGATTTGAAAATGCCAAAAAGAAATATTTTGGCATTTCTAATCAAAATGAAACAGTTTGACACTTCAACTTTCATTTTGGTTTGTTGAACTGAACATTAAACTGTATTTCCCTATGGCTGTGCATTGCTTCATAGGGGTTGTAGTTGAATTTGCTTGATGGTCCATTCTCCCCTATGGGTCAAGCACCCTGGCTGGACTACATCTGCCATGATGCACCACGCTTTCGGTTAGAGGGGACCCTGGATTGCATCATGGGAGATGGAATCTGGTCAGGGAGTCCAGCCCATAGGACAGAATGAGGATCTGAACTACAACTCCCATGAGGCAATGTGCCACAATAAAAATCCAGTTTAGTGTTCAATTGACTTGAAATGAAACGTTTTAGGGCAGTACAACAAACCGAAACATTTTGATTTGGATCAAACCAGCTCTAATTCATGGTGTCATTGAACCGATATGTATTTCTGAGGAAGGGGGGCTGAAGCACGGATAAATTGAGGGCCAGATTTCCAAAAGAGCTCAGCCCTCCACAGCTGCCATTTTAGGCACCTCTACAATAGGAGCTGTTGGATGCCGATAACTTCTGAAAATCTGCCCACTTCAGTTAGGTCCCTGAGTGGTAGCTATGAGCTCTTTTCAGAATCTGGCCCTGAGTCTATTTCGTAGTGTAGCCCAAACCATTGTGTATGTTTGGGGAGGGCGATTGGGAAGGGGCTGGCGGATTAAATAACTTTTCTTTGATCTACGTCTTGTAGACGGCTGGACTCCAATGCCTTGCTCTGTGACTGTGACTTGATGTGGCTGGCCAAACTGCTGAAGAAATATTCTGAACAGGGCAATATTCAGACAGCTGCCACCTGTGAGAATCCAAGGGAATTGCAGGGCCGGTCCATCACCACCTTGACAACCCAAGAATTTAACTGTGGTGAGCCTGCTTTTATTATTAAATCTATTCACCCAGTGATGCTCCGTTCTGAAGTCAGTGGGATTGCACCGGTGTAAACAAGAAAAGGGCTTGGCCCAGCATCTGTGGGTTTTTTCCCATGATGGTCCTGCTTTGCATTCACTTCCACTGCTGAAATGAGAGATGATTAATAAGGTCAAGTGACTTGATCAAAGTAACATACTGGGAGTCGACAGCACACCTAGAATTTATGCCCCGGACCCTTCTGGCTATTACTCCTTTTCTCTAGCCACTAGACAACGCTGCCTGTTTCAGTTACTTTTCAGCACCAGTGCTACAAGTAGGAAGATGGAGACTGGTGCTGTCAGCTTCCCAGGTGAATAGACCATACACTTAAGCTAAAAGAGCACTTCAGCTGCAGTCATTTTTTCTTTGCATATGAGCATCAGTAGAGGTGTCCATAACCTTAGTTAAATACTCTGTCATAGGTACCGGACCGACTGAGCAATAAGATATGACATGAGTGCCCCATCAGTGCATGTCTCTTTCACTGTAATATTGATAGGCCCCAATTCAGCAAGGTACTTAAGCACATGAGCAGCCCCATTTGTTTCAGTGGGACTTCTCATGGGCTTAAAGTTGGACACAAGCTTATGTACCTTGCTGAATCAGGGTCAAAGGCTCCAGAGCGTGTGCTTAAATTCATCCCTATTCAGCAAAACAAGCACTGAAGCATGTTTAACTCCCATTGAAGTCCACAAGACATAAGCGTGTGTTTTGCTGAGTAGGGATGGACTGCTGCATTGGGGTCACCGTGTGTAAGCCCATTTTGTAATGTAAACGGTAAGGCTTAGAATATTGGACCCATATTTTAAGCCATTGGGTCAGAATTGGCCTGGGATTGCTTGGGGTGGGGGGGTGACTTATTCATCTCTAGGTTTGGTCTAATTAGGCTTTAACTTCATCCTACCCTGGAGTTCCCCAACACATGTATGTTAGGTTAGTATACACCACCTTATACAAATGCCTGGCAGTTATAAGAGCTGAATTGGCCTATGGTTTTCCCAGAGTTCTGTTCACTCATCCTAGGCTACATCTCACAATACCCTCCCATAGTACCACCCAGCATTTGGCATAAGCAGATAGGAAACTTGTCCAAGTCAAGTTTGTTCGATGACTTAGTAAAGCTGGGAAGGTACCTTCACGCACCGATACCTGGAATGCTCGCATCCAAAACAAAAATAACGAAGAGGCAGAGCAACAAGTTAAGGAACTGAGACAAACTGAGGGGTTGGAGTTTAGTGACCTGTAAAGAGTTTTGTAACTTTGTTAAATCATCCTATAAATACTCCTAGCTGAAATGTGTAACTGTGGGACTACACCTTCTGTATAAGGCGAATGTAACCACGCTGCATGAGACCGCTTCCTGGAGACTGGTATCATATAGAATCTTTTTCCTGTACTATGTTCTTACTGGCTTTTAGCAATAAACCTAACGGATACTGGTTATGAGATTTCATAGTGAGCCAATGTGTGGTCAAGCAATTGACTATACAATTTATCAACACTAGAGTGGGTTTTGTTAAATGGTGTTTTTCAGAGAGGCCTCGCATCACCACCGAGCCCCATGATGCTGATGTCAAGTTGGGAAACACTGTTTATTTCACCTGCAGGGCAGAAGGAAACCCAAAGCCAGAGATCATCTGGCTACACAACAAGTGAGTTGTGCACATAGGCCCTGTGGGGGTGGCCGCTTCCATCGAGCGGCAAAGTCCTCAGTTACTGCCTGTGATTACAGGAGTCATTTCACACAAATCAGGAATGCATGTTTCATTAATTGTATTTACCTTTATTTTAGTAGCACTCTCCAATGACCCTGTCAATAAAGTGCTGTCTTCATGTCTATTTGAAATGTTTTCCCAGGATTTATACTTGCCCATAAATGTACTCTGCAGGCTGAAAGAAGTTGTTGCTGAAAACATTTTATTAGCCTTTTGGCGTGCTTGGAGCCACCATGTTTGTGATATATTAACCACTAAAATGGTGCCTCCTGTACTTGGTTTGCCCATGGAAATGTCAGCACTTCAAAAGGAAATTGTTGTATTCCATTGTGGTGCGTAGGCTGCAATGGAATGTGGCAGGGAAGGGGTTAATGTGCTCTCCTGCCAGTGTAGACACCGCTGCTGCACAATGACACTAGGTGCTGAAAAGTCACAGGGAAATGCCTGACAACAAAATGTTTTGGGCTTGAGCAGTCATCCATTCTGCATGTTAAAGTATTCCTTGGTTTCCCTTGCTTCTGTGTCATGGGAATGTGGGCGGGTGAATAGGAGGATTTTAAAAATAAAACCAAAAGGATGAATGTTAGCATCCCTGCTGACACCCTGCAGGCAGAGTTTCACTCCAGTGCAAATTTTTGTGGCTGGGTGTTATTGCTCTCGAAAGAGGGTTTTGTGATGGAAATGCTGGCAAGCTCCCACTCAGAGCAGTGCAAATGGGATCACACTAATATATGTTCACCACACTGGAAACCACTATAACCGGGCAGGAAGGGGAATTAATAAATGCTCATCAGGCATGTTGTTCTGCCTGGTGGATGCATCTATATTCTGGGGAGAGAAATTTCCTCTCCTTCTTTAGTCTTCTGCAGCCCTCCAATGTTCCATCATGCTAGGACAAATGATATCCAACAGGGCGACCTTCTAACGCTGGCTGGGCTCCAGGAGTTGCAGCTGAATGTGGGGAGAGAAAAAATACTTCACAGCTCTCAGGTCCTGGAATGGAATTCTCATATTTATTAGGACTCCACAGTGAATTTACACCTAGCTCTTCTCCTAACGAAGAACCTCCAGCCCTGCTGAAATAAAGTTGGCTTCTCATAAAGCTTCCGGGATGATTTCGTCAGGGCTACTGCTTGCATTACTTGATGCTATTTTATATGTGCTTTCACCGATTTTTTTTTTTTAATCTCTTAGCTATAAAAAGATTCCTACTCTTACACTAAACATCTTAAAAAACAAAGTTAATACTACAGCTGGGGGAAGTTTACTAAAGTGCTATTTTTAATATATGTTTTTCAAAACTTTGAACCTGGTGAAAAAATACTTTTTCATAATCATTTTCACATTTTTCCCTATTTCTCAACAGCTTATAGCGCCGATAAACATTTTTTTCCAAATTTTGAAATTTCAATGAACATTTCTTTTTAATTTTACATTTTGAAAAAGAAGTTTCACATGTTTTCCATTTTTTTTTTTTGAGCAGCTCAGTCTAATATATTGAATACCATAAAACCTGTCACTTCTCCCTAAGCAAGCAGGGTTTCTGATGGGATTACTACTAAGAGTTAGCAAGTTAAATGTTATTCTAGCTGCCTAACTGCTATGCTGCATGTTTAAATTTTCAAGGACATTCCTGTCTACAGAGACAGGCAACCATTTAGTAGTCATTTTAGGGCAGACTGTCAGGGGAGACTTTACTTTTGTTCTTTCTTCCTTTATAGTTCTCTTTGCCTGCAATAAAGGTTCCTGTGACCGAAAGTATCTGTGTATATCGGGGTGGAGAAGCAGTGCTAAAAATTGTTTTATTGGATCCATTGGTATAATGATATATTTACTTGCAGTATATTATTCACCTGCTGAATATATCTATGTTTTGAGTTCCAGATAGGGTGTGATCCTTCGTGAACAAGGGAGAGAAAGCTGGAACTCAAGCTGAGAGAAAATGTGAATGTTTCTGCCTGTAGTTGTTTTCGGTATAAAAGGAATACTAGCTGTGATTCCATATAATATGACAGTGGGTGGAAAAAATATTTGCTGTCAATTATGGGGAGCTAAAAAATAATTTGGAGAACGACAAACCGAATATTATGCATGCAATAAATAAGTAAATAGTTTGACGACGATGAATGGGGGGAAATGGTCGTGTTTTTCCTCTGTCCCTGCAAACTCAGCCTCTTTGTGCCTGGCTCTGCTTTTCAGCAATGAAATTGACATGAAAGACGATGGGCGCCGTAACTTGCTGCAGGATGGAACCCTGATGATCCAAAACACCAAAGAATCTGACAAAGGCGTCTACCAGTGCATGGCCAAGAACATAGCCGGAGAGGTCAAGACACAGGAAGTAGTTCTGCGCTACTTTGGCACTCCATGTAATTGAGCCTTAAACACTTCTTGACGGTCCGGATTATGGAAGGGAGTCAGTCAGATTAAGCCCTTCCTTTATTTATGTACACTTTGGCAAGTGTCTTCACACGCGTGGTGCTTTTAAAGTGCCTAGCCGGTTGGAGGGGTATTATGGAGCAAAGGGAGGGATGGTACCAGTGAAGCCATTATTATATGACTCCACCAGCCATTCCAACCCCTCAGAAAATTAACATAGCACACATGAAGGCTACTGCTGCTCTGAGCAGGTAGGGACAAGTTCTGCTCCTGCTCCAGAAACTTCAGAAAGAAGGGCCTCCTCTCTGTAACTCTAATACAGCACCCTGGAGCTTGGATTGTTTCCTCAGGCTGTGCAGGAATGGGGATTTTCCCCAAGGACTCAGCTTGTGTAGCAGAGAGGGTCAGGAGGCCCCTGTGATTCATTGAGTAAAAGTCCCTGGAATTGTGGTGTTACATTCATTATCCGCTGATGTTTATTTCTAGTAGCCCCCGTGGTGTGCTAGGCACTTCGAGACAGGAGTCAGGGCTGAAGTTCGTCTTCTGGAGGCAGGGTCCTGAGTCCAGAGAGAGAAGGGGACTGGAGGAGGGGAGGTTTGAGGGGAGGGAATCGAAGGTGGTAAATAGGTGTTGGGGATTGCAGGCCTAAGAATATAACAGAACAGAAGGAGAGGACAAACATCCCAGTAAAGAGGATCTGCACAGCCCTGAGGCTTTCTCCAGGGACGGGCAGAGCATGGGAGCAGAAGAATTGTGGGTTCAGGGTAAGCCAGGGTGGGGAGGTTTGTGGGGCAACCCTTTTGGCCGTGTTTGACGAGAGCAAAGGGGAAAGGGAGAGCGGAGTAGAGCGATATCGCAGCCGAGTCAGTGGAGATGCAGAGTGGTAGAGGAGTCATTCGTCTTGCCAGGCATGATGAGACCAAGCAGACTCTGAACACATTTGAAATGCATTCTGGGTCAAGCCCCACTTTTCTGTGGAAGATTTGTTCTAATTTACCAGTGAAGCTTGATTTGCCCTGTTCTGGAGAGGCCTGTGCAGGAGAGGGCAGCAAGGCCGCTTGTGTCTGAAATGTGTCCCTTGCTTTCAGCCAAGCCCAGCTTCGTGATCCAACCCCAGAACACAGAAGTGCTGGTTGGGCAAAGCGTCACCTTGGAGTGTGGGGTCTCTGGGCACCCACCCCCTCACGTCATCTGGACTCTGGGCACGGGCTCGCCACTCCCGAGCGATTCCCGCTTCGCCATCACCGGCTCAGGAGGGCTATACATCCAAAACGTCACCTTCTTGGACCAGGGCCAGTACAATTGCAATGCCAGCAACTCAGAAGGCTCCATCCAGGCTACGGCAAACATTATAGTGCAAGGTGAGGGACTCGATGACATTGGCTGGTGTTAAGCACTCAACTGCTGGTCAGGCCGCTAAACCCAGAGTACCGGGCCCTGTTCCGCTCTCAGTGGCTATTCCTGCGTGGCTGGGTTTGGTTTTTTCCTATTGCTCTGCCATTGTCTTCTCCCCTCAGATACTCCCAGGTTCCTGGTCATTCCCATTGATCAGACTGTGACTGAGGGGCAAAGCGTGGATTTCTCCTGCACTGCTGAAGGCCATCCTCCACCTGTTATCACCTGGACAAGGGCAGGTACTCCCCCCGTGTTACCTTCTCCTGTAAATACCCACCAGGCCTGGACGATGATGGCTAGGCTACTGCTGTGGGGCATTCTGCAGCCGATGGTGAGTTATCACCCAGCTGAGCTGAAGGTTTAGCACCCCGGTGAGATGTCGGATCTCACGACATCCTTTGGGCTGGTGGTTGGCCTGAGATTGAGGTGGATGTATAATGCGTGGCTGTTCCCAGCACTTACTCTGTTCCCATCCTTACTCAGTGCAACTCTAAAAAATGTGCATTATATTACATGAAATACCCAGGTTCTGAGTCACCCTCCCAGCTGCTTCAGGAGTGGCATTAACATGGTCCCCCTTCATCCCTCCAGCGATTGGAAGGTGGTGCCAAGAGGCCATGGCACTGTCCTATTGTCTCTGGCAGGGATGTGGAGGATTCTGGTGGGAAAGGGGGGAGGCTGCTGTGAGAGTACAGGGAGCCTAAGGCAGTCACTGAAACTCTTCCTTAAGGGTCTAAAGAGGCAATTTGGCTTCTGTAGCCTGTAAGTACTAGTGAGGTCAGTCGCTTCACTTGGATTGAATTTCCTTTACCTTTGATGGATTAACTGCTGGCCTCAGGGCTGTAGCCTTGACTCCACTCTCTAAAGAGCGATTGTGCTGGGCTGAGCCTACAGGGCCGGTAGCTAGTGGGCATTTGGGGGTGGGTGAGTGGCTACCGTGGCGGGTGGGCTGTGCCAGGCAGCCGGGGGTGAGTGCAGGAGACACTGGTCAGAAGCGGCTCTCCCCCGGCAGTCTCCTCATCCAGCCCAGTATGGATCAGCGCATGGCACAACCCCAGGGGCAAGGCCAGCCCTGGCCCCAGCCCACCCTGCAGGGTGCTCCCCTGGGCCCGCCAGGGCTCCCGCAGCTCACCCTTGGGGCAGACTCTCCCCAGTCGCAAATTACCCCCACAGCTTCAGCCCCTCCCCTGACTGGGAGCTGGCCTGACCCACCCGTCCCCTCCACCAAGCCGGGACACTGCGCCGGCCAACGAAGCCACAAGCAGGGAGCAGAGCCCGCCTGGCAGGCACATGCCTCTTACCCTGCCCAGGCGCCAGCACCCTCTTGACCACGACCCCACAGCAGTCGCCCTCATTGCCCGCCCCTAAGGCTGGCCCTGATTACATTACATCATCCAGGGTAACATTAAGAATCAGGAAAAGAACAGAGACTCTTAAGCCCGTACACATTCCTAAGTAGGACTGTCAGAGGGAAGGAGGGATTTGGAGACTGCATTTCCTTCACTCCCTTTTCATCATGAAGTCCTTGGCAATGCTGAACCGTAGTCTGTTCCAGTCACTCACCTGGTTTGAGAGAGCGGGGGGCTGGACAGCCGTGGCTGATTGGTGTCACTGCACTACGGCTTTCGGTCATCACCGGGTTCTTTCTAATGGGAGAGGGTGCTAGAGGAGAGAACTTGCCACTGATGCCTCCCTGGGGTTTCTTTTTTTGCTTTTGAAAACTGACCTTGGGTGAACTCTGAAGTTCTGTGATGGTTCTCAGCATGGCTCCTCGGCGCTGACCCCATGTAACAGTCTCTGGGCCAGGAGCCAGTTATCCCTGGCCCAGGGGCCCTCCAGCTTTCCTGACGCTCCACAAGCCGTAATTAATTGTTTCGAGCTGGGAAGAATTCCTTGCCGGCACTGTGGCTTCCACAGCAGCAGACAAACCATCAAGCTCAGAAGGGCCAGCTGAGACCTCCTTAACCAGCATGTTCTCCATTTCCTTTAACTCTTTCCCTGTTGCTGCCCATGTTCCAGGAGCAGCTTTCCTGTAGGATGGACATTGAATGGGGTGCCATGACAGGCTGTGGAGTTAGCAAGGCTGTTGCATGAATGGACTTGGTAGGCTGTCCAGCAATGAAAAGGTTAAATAAATACCACTTTACTGTCTGACCTCCTGCATAACACAGGCCACAGGACTTCCCCGAATTAACTCCTGTTTGAACTACTGCCGACCCCTTTCAAAAACATCCCATCTTGATTGTGGGGAGTCCACCACATCTCTGGGTAAGTTGTTCCCGTGGTTAATAGAGGACATGCAAATTGCAGCCCGGGATAAAGAGGTCTAGTGGAATCTTGTTCGTACCCTAAATGACACCTGACCACACAGAAAGAGTTCACATGCAGACTGAGTTCATAATCAGCCATAAAGCAAATTAGGGATGACACCGAGGTAGGAGCAGCAGCTCTTCTTGTCCTTGGCTGGAAAGGTGATGATTGTGCTTCAGGGCATCAATAGCAGGGGGTCGAGGGTTGTAGAGTGCGAATAGGCCGATTCCAGACACACTCTCAACCACCCTCAATGAATGGAATAGTAACACACAGCTTCACTAACACATCATTCTGCTGTCGCAATCAGGTGGGCCATTGCCAAATGACCGGAGGCACAGTATCCTCTCCACCGGCACCCTGCGCGTCATGAGGGTTGCCCTGCATGACCAAGGCCAGTATGAATGCCATGCCATCAGTGCCATCGGAGTCAAGAGCCTCCCGGTGCAGCTTTGGGTGACGCCTCGAGGTACACCAATGCAGGCCAGCGTGTGTGGGAAATACTAGCTGGCAAATGGATTGCATTCACTTTACAGTGTGTTGAGGTTGACGCTATCGGGTGAGGAAGGCAATTGCCTGAATTCCTGGGGGATGGATTTCTCTTTGCCTTGGGATCAGAGGGACCATAGTAAAGTTCCTTTAGAGGATGGGGGGAAATACACAAGTCCAGGTTCTCAGCCAGTGTAAATCAGCATCGTTCCGTTGAAGTCAATGAAGCTGCCCAGTTTACATCAGATCAAAACTCACCTGACATGGACAGTGACTGGAGAGAGGGACTACACCAGTGCTCATCTAGTTGGTGAGTGTTAGTTTTAGTGCTCCTCATGTATCTTTCACTGAGTGGTGCCCTTCCAAAACCTACATTTAAATGCTGAAAAATACATTCAGGCTGGGACGTTTTCAAGGGAGCATAATGGAATGAGAATTGGGCATCGAACTGCTTTAGACTCCTTTGGAAATCCCAGCAGAAACATTTCATTTGGCTTGACATTTCCTGGTATTTCAACAACCACCAAACCTGAAACATGGCATTGTTTAGTTTAAGAAAATTAGCTTTGGGTTAATTTTTTGGTAACAGTTTTCAGTTTTTGAAAACAAATTTTTTTTTTTTAACCAAAAATGGTTTTCCATTTTTTTCCTCTTATGCTTTTGTTTTTTTCCACTGGAGGGAAAATAGTATTTTTTGTAGGATATTTTGAAAAATGACAATTTTGATATTTTCTGTGAAAAATAATTGTCTTTTTTCCTAGCAGTGCTGGTTCTGGCACTCTGTATAAGTCGTAAATCTTACTGAGAGATCATTGTTCTGAACACTAACTGCCGGGCCAAATTTCACCCCAAATTTAGATTTTCCTGAAATTGAGCTTTTGCAAAAGACAAGAACAGAAGTATTTCCATGATTTTTTTAAATTCCTATGGAAACAATCTTCTTAAACAAAAAACATCACCCACTGCAGCATTGTGCCCCTGGTGAGACTGGGGGCAGGCCTACACTATAGGGTTAAGTCAATCTAAGTTATGGAACTCCAGCGACGTGAATAATGTAGCTGCAGCCAAGGTACCATAGGTCGACTTGTTGCGGTGTCTACACCGCGCTGGGTCGACGGGAGAAACTGTCCTGCTTCTCGTTCCGGTGGAGTACCAGAGTCAATGGGAGAGCGATCTGTGGTCAATTTAGTGGGTCTTCACTAGATCCGCTAAATCAACCCCTGGTGGATCGATCGCCACAGCCTTGATCCAGGGTAAGTGTAGACATACCCTGGGGAAATGAAACTGACTAAAATCACATGAGAAACTGACTAGCTTCTGTAAATTCATAAATTCATCGAGTTTCTCTCCTGCGTAACATGGACCAGAGAACCTCACTCAGTAATTTCTGAATCAAGCCCGTAATTACTGCTTGAGCTAGAACAGATCATTTAGAAAGAGATTCAGTCTTGATTTAAAAACTCCAGGTGATGGGGAAATCCACCATGTAATTGTCCAAGCTGAGAGAAATACAAACAGCAGCAGAAGATGAACAGTGAAATTTAAATGAGAGAGTGTTGTTAGTAACAGAGACAAGGAAAGCAGATGATGTTTTAACTTGACAGTGTCCCTTTAAATGTTGTTTGAGACAGGAGTCTGGGAGCCTTATCATCACTCTCTGGTGAAATGTTACTAACTCAAACTTCTCACAGTTGCCCCTAACGAAGAAATTTCTTGTATTTATTCCTCTGTTTCTTCACACTAAACAGTGATCCCTGTGTTTCTTCACCCTCCACAAGATGTGGTAACTGAGACTGGGCAGGATGTTGTGATCACCTGTGCTGCCCAAGGAGATCCACGACCCACCATCACCTGGGCCAAAGTAAGAGAATTACAATTCCGTAGTCACCCTGTACCCAGCTGATAATCCCCATGCTGCGGTGTTCCTGATACTGTGTCATTACTAGATCAGAGTGAATCATTGATTTTCCAGTTCAGTGGCTGAGCCAAAAATATCTGAAACAAATTTGGTTAGTTATGTGTTTGAGAATTCTGTTCATTACTACAGTTTCAACCATTTTGCCTGGTGCTGAAGTTAGGCCTGTAATTGCCAGGATTGCCTCTGGAATCTTTTTTTAAAAATCGGCGTTACATTAGCTACCTTCCAGTCATCTAGTACCTAGGCTGATTTAAGCGATAGGTTGCATACCACAGTTAATCGTTTTGCAATTTCATATCTGAGTTCCTTCAGAACTATACAATGTATGTTTGGGAGCAGAGGAGGGTGGGAAGCCGGACAAGAGTGTAACTAGCCAAAAGAATTGCTGGGGGTGCGGTGAGGGGTGAAACGGACTGGTGTCTTCTTTGCTTTCAGATACCTTTTCTGTGTTGCAGAGTTCTCCTGACATCTGCTGGCCATGTCGATCAATGACAGCTGTGTGTGTGTTTCCTAGATAGAGCAGAGTCTAGGCTGAGGGATTCTCTCTGAAACGTCTTCCTGTCTTTTGATCATGCCACAGGAGGGTATTCAGATCACAGAGAGCGGCAAGTTCCATGTAAGTCGAGATGGGACCCTATCCATTCGAGACCTGGGAGTGGCTGATCAGGGCAGATATGAGTGTATAGCCAGGAATACCTTTGGATTCACGTCCAGCACCATGCAGCTGACCATCACTGGTACAGTGTCCCTTGGCTTTATCTCTACAAGGTTCTCTCTTTCTCTTGCTCTGCTTACGTATTTCCTGTGTGGATGCCTGTACTTTTAGAGAACGGTTATGTTACTCCTTTTGCTTCCTTATGGGCAGGTCATTCAGACACCCAGGCTTGCAAAGGGTGGGAGAATGAGAACAGCTCTGCCAATACAATGACAAGCTATTAAATGCTTGCTTGTAACCCTAATCCACTGGGGGAAGGGAGGCGTTCTCCATTTTTCACACTACTGCTTTGTGTAAGAAGGTAGGAGAAGCAGAGATTGTAAAGAATAGCAGGCAGAGAGGTAACACTCATCTGTCAATCAGACCGCAGGTTAAGCATCACGGTGGTAACCCTTGGAGGGAAGGGAAGAATCGAGGAGGAAAAAATTGGAAGCAAAGCAAGGGCGGTTTAAAAGCATTTCTCAAGCACGCAGGGGTGAATAGCGTGCATAGCCAATCATTTATTAGATTAATTTAGCCTCCTTCTCGGTGCATGAATTGCCTGTGAGACGTTTAGGATGTTGTCTAACTTCTTTGTTGTTTGAAATTACTCACAGGATAATTAATGTGATTTGTTCGTGGTTGGTAGCTTGTTTTCCAACAGCGCATGTTGCATGTCAGTTCCCAATGTCAATATCCACATTTGAGCTGGGTTGATTACCTTTGGTGTGACGTGCTGGCCACGAGGTATTGTCTGGTTCTTGAGTGGGCAGGGGAAACACGCAGGGTTTGTCTGATTCTGCCCAGCAATCAGGAGGTGCTTTGATCTAGCTAGTGCCACTAAAAACAGCACTGAAGCGGTGGCCGCATGGGCTAGCCATTCGAATACATATCCAGGGTCCCAGGCAGGGTTGTACATGGGCAGCGAGCCTGTGCCACTGGCCATGCTGCTGCTTCACTGCTATTTTTGAGCAAGCTAACAAGATTGAAGCTAGCTGAGGTGTGTCTACACATGATACAATCACACCTCCCGATTGCAGTGTAGACCCTTAGAATCAGATTTCTGAAGTGCATACTCCTGCGTACAGGCTCATGTTAAAAAACTCCCTCTTGCCATGAACGTACCTGTCAGTTAACATGTTCTTTAGAAGATCTGTGAACATGACCACTACAGCTGAAGCAAATTCAGATATCTTATGCAAGCGAATGTTCACAGACCAAAATCTTGGGGTGCTCCCCTCGGTCTAAGATGGCATGTTGTCATCCTGCGGTGTGGTCTCTTGTATGCTGGGGCAGTGATTTCAGTTCATAACTATCCTGCAAACTGAGACCCAAACCTACCCCAAGTTGTTTATGACGGCACACGGCAATGAAGTTCTATTTTGTAGTGGACACTGATGCACAAAAGTCTCGCCAAGTTCTCTCAGGGTTGGAAAACCAAAGTAAAATTAAGTCATTTAATTTCCTCATTCTCTCTTGATTCCTTGAAAGCCACGGACGTTGGTCGGAGTGGCGACACCTTTGTAGCCACGTCAATACAGGAAGCCATCAGCAGTGTGGACCATGCTATCAATTCAACGCGCACTGAGCTGTTTAGCAAGTAAGGCTGCTTGGGGTTAAGATCTGAGCTGCAGAAATGACAGCAGATGGAGGTCAGAAATATATTGGGTGGAGATGCTCTGAAAGCATGTATTATACCTCACTGCTATAATTCCATCTCAGGTTTCTGGTGAGCCAAGTTAGTAAACATAGGCTCGATAGCAGGGTAAAAAATCATAACGGGGAGACCCGTTTGTAGAATTGTCTTACAAAGGAACCCCATCTCTCAAGCCCCTTGAGACTGTTTTGTAGGAGACAATACAACTGGAAGAGGAATGGGATTGTAACCTTGAGCTGTTCAAAGGGACAGAGCACACACAGAAATAAAGGATCAGCACAGTCAGTATATAAATGCAGATGACTTCATTCATTGTGGGGCAGTGGAGCAGGCCAAAAAATATGTATCTGAACTTTTTTCTTGACAAAAAGTAGCTTTAGATTAAATGGAAATTTCATAGAAGATGTATTTTAATTGAACATTTGGGAGTTTTCATAAGAAAACCAAAAACATTTTGGCCTTCAACCAAAATGTTATGGTGTTCAGGTGCCAAAAACTGAAACATTTTTGAAATTATGAATAATTATGAAAATGTTCATTAAATTTTTTTCATTGGGGTGGGGGTGGAATCCTTTCCTGATCAGCTCTAGCAAGCAGACAAGTTGAACCACTAACATGAATACTTGTTGGGATATCTCTCCTGAATAGGTCTAGATTGTGACCCAGGTTGCCTGAAACATCTTGTTAACATCAGGGAAATATTCATTTCAGTAATCAAGAATCCCTTGTAGCCCACTTTTAATTTTCTGAAACAGGCGACCCAAAACTCCCAATGACTTGCTGGCACTCTTCCGTTACCCCCGGGACCCTTACACCATCGAAACAGCCCGGGCTGGCGAGATCTTCGAAAGAACCTTGCAACTGATCCAAGACCATGTCCAGCAGGGGTTGATTGTGGACATGAATGGCACGGGTACGACCGGTTATTTCTGATCCGACAGTAGAACGTCAGGAAATTCAGGGGGAGAATAAAGTTAAAAAAACAGCAACGCCAGACGGTTGCCAGGTGGGAAGTCAGAACATTGTACTAAAAGTTCAAAACACTTAAATATCAGTAAGTGGAGACATGGACTGTCCAGGATCCAACACCAGTGATTAACTCTGCCCCTTATCCTGACCATCATCTTCCATCCAACTTTCAGCTATAGGCATGAAGATCATAGAATGCCCTGCAAAGTGGAAAGCGTATCCCAGTGGTTAAGGCCCGGGTTCACTTCCCCACTCTACCACAGACTTCTTGAGTGACCTAGGGCAAGTCACTTAGGCCCAGTCTACACCTCAAACTTAGGTTGGCCTAGTTACCTGTCTCAGGGCTGTGAAACATTCACCCTCCCTGAGAGACGTAGTGAAGTTGACCTACGCCCCAGTGTAGACACTGCTAGATGAATGAAAGAATTCTTCCATCAACCTAGCAGCCGTCTATGAAGGGGGTGGATTTACTACAGTGGCGGACAAACCCCTTCCATTGCTGGAGCAAGTGTTTAGACAAAAGCAGAGTAGCTGCAGTTATGCTGCTGTGGCGCTTGTAGTGTAGCCACAGCTCCGGTCTGTCTCAGTTCCTCGTTTGTCAAGTGAGGATAATGCCTTCCCACTCCACAAGGCTGCTCTGAGGATACCTACATTAAAGACTGTGAGGTGCTCAGATGGCAGCCCTGTAATGACTATAAAGACATAAAAACAAAACAAACATACTAATTAGGGACTGGAAACCAGGCCCACACTCATGGCATGGCCCAGACACCACAACATCCTACATTACCCTCTCTGTAATGTTTATACCTAGCCCTGGCTCCGTCCACCATTCCATGATGGGGCCAGTACCTCACTATTCTTCCTTCACCCTCCCACAATCAGTCACAGGCCCTACACTCCACATACCGGCCCAGCGATCAAATTGCCTTGTCCACCCTCAAGATAGTGATGACAGACCCCCAACTAGCCCTCATGTGGGGTGGCAGGGTGTGTGTCTCCGATGGCCATGCTCTAATGTGTTGTTTTGGGGTTCCCTCACAGGCTACCGTTACAACGACCTGGTCTCCCCTCACTACCTGAACGTGATCGCCAACCTGTCTGGCTGCTCCGCCCACCGCCGCACGCCCAACTGCTCTGACATCTGTTTTCACAAGCAGTACAGGACCCACGATGGCTCCTGTAACAATCTCCAGCACCCAATGTGGGGTGCGTCCCTCACAGCCTTCCAGCGCCTCCTCAAGCCGGCCTACCAGAATGGTTTTAACCTGCCGCGGGGCTTCTCTTTGGCGGAAGACTCCAGGGAGCTGCCCCTGCCGCTGCCTCGTCTCGTCTCCACAGCCATGATAGGGACAGAAACCATCACCTCCGACGACCAGTTCACTCACATGCTCATGCAGTGGGGCCAGTTTCTGGACCATGACATGGACCAGACGGTGGCAGCCATCAGCATGTCGCGGTTCTCGGACGGGGCACCCTGCAGCGAGGTGTGCACCAATGACCCGCCGTGCTTCTCCGTCGTGATCCCGGAGAACGACCCCCGGGTGAGGAACGGGCGCTGCATGTTCTTTGTCCGCTCCAGCCCCGTGTGCGGCAGCGGGATGACCTCCCTGCTGATGAACTCCGTCTACCCCAGGGAACAGATCAACCACCTGACCTCTTACATCGACGCCTCCAACGTCTACGGCAGCACGGAGCAGGAATCTCAGGAGCTGAGGGATCTGAGCAGCCAGAGAGGGCTGCTGAAACAAGGACAGGTGGTGCCCAGCTCGGGGAAACACCTCCTCCCGTTTGCAGTGGGGCCGCCCACCGAGTGTATGCGGGATGAGAACGAGAGCCCCGTGCTGTGCTTCCTGGCGGGGGATCACCGGGCCAACGAGCAGCTGGGCCTCACAGCCATGCACACCCTCTGGTTCCGGGAGCACAACCGCCTTGCCGCCGAGCTGCAGGCTCTGAATCCCCACTGGGATGGGGACACGCTCTACCACGAGGCGCGCAAAATGGTGGGCGCCCAGATGCAGCACATCACCTACGCGCACTGGCTCCCCAAGATCCTCGGGGAAGCTGGCGTGAAGGTGCTGGGCGAATACAAAGGCTACGACCCCAACGTCAACGCTGGAATCCTCAATGCCTTCGCCACCGCGGCCTTCCGGTTCGGACACACGCTGATCAACCCCGTCCTGTATCGGCTGAATGAAACCTTCCAGCCCATTCGCCAAGGCCACGTCCCCCTCCACAAGGCCTTCTTCTCCCCTTTCAAGATCACCCAGGAAGGAGGGATTGATCCTCTCCTCCGCGGTCTGTTCGGGGTCCCTGGGAAAATGCGGGTCCCCTCCGAGCTCCTGAACATGGAACTGACCGAGAAGCTCTTCTCCATGGCGCACTCTGTCTCACTGGATCTGGCAGCAATCAACATCCAGCGGGGGAGGGACCATGGCATCCCCCCATACAATGACTTCAGGGTCTTCTGCAACCTCACGTCGGCACAGGAGTTTGAAGACCTCCGTAACGAGATCAAAAACCTGGAGATCAGGGAAAAGCTCAGGAGGTACTGTGGTTTGGACCATGAGATCAGTCTACCAATGGTATTGCCCTCCCCTAGCACCTATCAGCTGATCTGCTCTACTGCGATGGGGTTCAGAAGCCAGGGTGATGGCCGTGGTATAACAACTAGAATACCTGGAGATTTCCAAGCGAGCAATCCCTTACTTCTCAACCTCTAGTACTGTATCAGGGGATTGGTACGTTACTCTTTGGGTTTCAACCTGAGAGTAACGTACCAATTTTCCAAGATAGCTATTTTCCAAGAGGACTAAATTGCCTGTTGTCTGTCTGGGTTACTACTCCTTATTGTGGAGTTAGGCCCTCCCTTCTGTCGTCTAGGTAGCTCACAGTAGTTACTGTCCAAATGTTGCCCAGATGAGCTCCTTGCACCCAGATTCCTATTCAAATGAAGCAATACTCCAGCCAAGATTGCTTTCCGCCCTCTGATAATCTTTTCCTTTTTGCCTCTCACTGTGCAGTTTATATGGGACTACCAAAAACATTGACCTGTTTCCAGCACTGATGGTGGAAGATCTTGTCCCTGGGACCAGAGTTGGACCAACATTGATGTGCCTGCTAGCAACACAGTTCCGAAGACTCAGAGATGGGGATAGGTACCATCATCTCTGGTCAAACCAAACCCCCCAGTATTCTGCTTGGGGAGATCACTCCTCTTGGGGAGACATGAAAGGAACAATTCCTGATTTCCCCTGGGTTCCAAGGCTGTGATGGTTCTTTGGGTAGGGGAATAAGGATGTAGGGCAGGCTCTGTTCTCCTCCCTTCTGTGTATCTGCTCAAGGACTTACGGCAGTTCAGGAATCTTATCTTGTTCTTAGTTAAAGATTAATTCACTTGGGCTTCATTGTACTTTCAAGGTTCTTAAGTTGTCCTCTGCTGTGGGAATGCTAGAAAAGTATGGGTGTGGGGACAGGGTTGGGAGCTTAATTCGGGGCGAATTTGGTGCATGTGATGTCAGTCGTGCCACTGATCGCTCTGGTTACCTGCAGAAAGAATGCCAGGGCGGCACAATCCTAACCCACTACACTATAGCTATTGCCGTTCTGAGCTTGTCTTGGGATGGAACTGATCCTACTAGGGAAGGGTCGGACTTGAGTAGTCGCCCCTTAAGGCTTGTGAGACCCTCAGACTCAAGTCCACTTAAGCCACAAATTAAACTCAGGTCCTGAAATGTAAATACTGGTGCCCTACCCCATTGCACATCCCCCGCCCTGCCTGGCCTTTCCCCCCATCTTGGCCTCTCCTCGCCCAGTATTACTGCTTGTTAGCCTCAGTGACACCATGGCTTGCAATCCCCTGTAGGTTTTGGTACGAGAATCCTGGAGTCTTCACCCCAGCCCAGGTGACTCAGATAAGGCAGACGTCGCTGGCTCGCATCATCTGCGACAACAGCGACCATGTCCGACAGCTCCAGAGGGACGTGTTCCAGGTGGCATCCTACCCCCAAGGCATGGTCAACTGCGAGGAGATCCCGGCGGTTGATCTCCGCATGTGGCAGGACTGCTGCGAAGGTGGGCGCAGTGCCGCTGTTGTGTCGATCGGCACGTGGGTTCAGGTTGGGAGGAGTCCTTTTATGCGCGCGCTCTCTCTCTCTCTCTCTCTCTCTCTGAAAGAGATTCAAGGGATGGTTTTATGATGTACATAACTCCTCTGCAGGCAGGAAGTCACAGCTCATTCTTATTACATATCATTGGTATTTCTGTAGCACTTAGGAGCCCCTGTCATGAACCGGGACCTCGCTGTGCCAGACGCTGTACAAACACACAAGAAATATCTGTATATCTATTCAGGTAGTGTGGCCTGCACTGGGACCCAGGAGACCTGAGTTCTAGTCCCAGCTCTGTCACTGCCCTGCTGGGTGACCTTAGACAAGCCACTTCCCCTTTCTGTGCCTCAGTTTCCCCATCTGTAAAATGGGATAACGACACTCACCTGTGGAAAAAGCTTTGAGATCTACTGATGAAAAGCACTGTCTAAGAGTGAAGTATTATTATTACCATTAAATACAGATGCATGCTGTATATTTAACATCCTGCTTATATTTAGGCAGGGGTCTCAAAATATGATGGGTTCCTCCTTCCCCTTGATCCTAGCACTTCTGGTCCTGTGGCCAGTCAATCCCCAGCAGCCTCCAGCATTCCACCCCTTAGATCAAGTGGAGCATTAGCATGATTGCACCCCTAAAGCGTGCAGCCTAAAAAACAGTGGGCAACTGTAGAAGGGACTGGCTGGAGTCTCCGTGGAAGGTAGATGCTGCTGCCTTTTGCTCTGGGCAAGGGGGGCTGTTGGTAGGTGGAGCTGGAGAGAGAGATTGGCTCGTGCCAAGCCATGGGAATTAGTAAAGAGGGGAAGAAGACAAGAGGGAAGAGAAGGCGCCAATTCCGAGAATTTCTGGATTATTATTCCCGGCTCCTCTGAGCTTCAAGAGCCGCCCTGGTTTCCCTTCCCCGCTTTCGCCCTGAAGGCATCAGGTCACAAACCACTGGCCAAGGAGGGCCGTACCGGACTCACTCCGGAGACCGTCAGTGCCACTCCCTGTTTCCCCCTCCACACACTGCAAGTGACCAGGCGTGGGAATCAAACCCCGCGCTCCCAGGCCAGTCCTGGAGGAGTCGGGTTTGATCTTGAAAGGTCAGGGACTGAGCTGCCAGTGCCGTAACGGGCACTAATTTCTGGGGGAGTTGAAGCAGCGCAGCCCCTCGCAGGGTCAGGCCTTTGGGTCCCTTTTGAATCAACGTAACTCAGCCTGGAGCAGCCCAGAGAAGGCTGGGTCTCCTGATGTCGGAGTGATCACCAGGGACCTTTTGAAGGAGCAAACTTGGGTCTGTCGTCTCCATAGGGAAGGATGCCGACGCCCTGAATAAATTGTATGTCCTGGAAAATCCATTGGCCGGATTCTTTATTAAGTTAACTTCTGCTGCAACCTGGGCACCCCGCCTTGCTGGTGCAGCTGTGCCCCTGCCAAGCCCTGTATCCCGGCAGGCCCACCTCCTTCCAGCATGTCAGGGCATGGTGAAGCCACACTCAATGACGTCAGTCCTCCACTGGCACCCGTGGCTGCCGTTCTAAGTGGCAGTGGGGGCCGGCACTCAGAATCGGGGCCTGGAGCTGGCTCCCTGGTGCTCTCGCCCCTACGTCGAATGGTGTTCCAGCCGTTCTTGCTCCATGTGCTTGTGCAGTGGAACGCACCAACTCAGAACTGCTTGATGTAATTGTTCTAGCTGCATAGAGGCCGATGAAGGCTTATGCTGAGTGGGGAGATTGGAGGGAGGGGAAATTCAAGCAAAAGGGCAGGATTTCCAGACTGAGCATCACTCCAAAGTCTCCTTTCCCTTCCTCCAGACTGCAGAACCAGAGGGCAGTTCAATGCTCTTTCTCAGCAATTCCGGAGCAAGAGGTCTCCCAGCTTCAGCTACCCAGAAGAAAACCCTTCTAAGCACAACCCTGCTGTCCCAAGGTGCGGTACCTCTGCATTTTTCACCTTCCCTTTCTCTACTGTCACAAGGGTTTTCAGTTTTTGTGTGCGCGTGCATGTGATCATTTGAAATCTGCCAACCTGAGCTGAGGACTAGACTGCAGAGATATTTGCAAAACTAAATAGATCAAATTATATATGACTGAATAAACTGTTTTGTCTAGATAGAGTGCTGGATTCTGCTAAGATCCGAGTTACGGTGCTGTTTAGGGAACTATGATATCGCACAAATACAAACTCTGAGCCTGATCCAAAGCCCATTGGAGATGGTAGGAGTCTTTCCGTTGATTTTAATGAGCACTGGATCGGGGTCCTGTATTATTGACCGTACATATGCAAGTATTGTGTGCTGCTCTTTCCCTGTGACGTGTCGTCGCCGGGTGAGAGCACATGAAAACAAGAGATCATGAACATTGTAGGGCGCAGATTTTCAAAATCTCAGGAGCCTAAGGCCACACACGCAAAAAAATCTGCAATTGCACATCTAATCACTATGTACATTCACCAAAGTGTAAATTTGGGGGTTGCACTCAGTCCTGGTAAGTGCTGGTGCAAATTAGGCAAACAGTTGCACGGACGTTTCCCCAGTGACTCTGGGCTCTTGAACCCTTGAGAATCTGGCCCGTAAACTCCTTTTGATTTAGAAAAGCAGGAACATTAAACACAGAACCTGAGTGTGCAGCCAGGGACACACTTTGAAATACCCGCACAGCCAGGAAATTGACGAGTGAACGTTTTCACTTTCTCTGCCCCTGCTTACAGAAACGAAGAGTCTTCCCATGACCATTCTTCCCAGCCGGACCTTGAGTCCTTTGTGGCTGACCTAGAAAAGACCGTCTCTTTCCTACGGAAACAGGTAGGACTTCATATGGCACCAGGGCTCTTCCCCTCACCCACCCGTGAACAGGATGTAGTGCCCTGTATAAAGCTGCCAAGTGTCGTGGGTTTGGCTTGTTCCCTCCCTCAGAAGTGGGAGTGACTGAGCAGAGGGAACTAGGGGTAGCCCCAGGAGCCAGAGGGCAGAGAGAGGAGGAGAAGGGCAGGGCTGGTAGGAGACTCTTGCTGGGGGGTAAGGATTACTGTTGGGGGTTCACCTTTCTCAGACTCCGTCCCAGAGCCCTGAGGTCCAGCCTCGCATCTTCCATAAGGCTGCCTGGCCTTCTGACGTGCCTCCAGAATGGGACTCATTCTCAGCATCCCTCTGCATTTGCTTCAGCTGAGACCCAGCAGTGCAGAGGCATGTCCAAATTGCACTCGGCAGTGGGAACGAAACGTTAACCAGCCTCCTCCTAATCTCCGGGTGCGCTCAAGTTTGGGGAGTGCAGGCTGCAGAATTTTGGGTGGGGAGAGGAGCTTGGAGAATTCCCCACCTGGCAGCTGGTGCGATCTTTGTCTTGCTGTCTCAGGTCAACGCCTTAGAAGGTCAGCTGAGGTGGTGGCATAGAAGCACTAATGAATATAGACGGTGGAAGAAGACTGGAGAGAAACGGAGAAAAAGATGATGACCCCATCTGCTAATGTGAGGTCAGAGCACGTCGGCTGGGCCGCCAGCATGGGAGAGGGTGCAGGGAAGGCTAGATCCGTACCAGATGGCTGATCATTACTATTTATTTGTATTATCATAGCACCTAGGAGCCCTAGACGTGGCCCGGGACCCCACTGTGATAGGCAGAACAAAAAGAGTGTAAATTCTTTAGGGAAGTGACTGTCTAAGTACTGTAAGTGGATTTAATTTATCCACCAATGATGCCCCCAAATCTCACAGCCCAAATGGGTCTCTAGAAGGCCATGTGGGGAGCTCAGATCACAGACGGGGGTGGATGGAGGGACTCTACTATATATACCTTGTACAGCTGTGTTCCCCTGTAACTCAGCAATAGCTGTACATGGTTGTTAGCCTGTGGACTACTGCTCCTTCTCGTGTTAGCAGCCTTGATAGCTATCCTTCTGTACCCCAAAGCCGTGCCCTCCATCCAGTTCGCTATGTTCATGGGGAGTGGTGCCTGGTGGGAAGCAGAATGAGCCCACTTAATTGTTTGGCTTAGAAAAGCACCGTGGAGCTTCTCACACCCTTGAAGGAGATTAAAAATGGCCTGGCTGGCAGTACACCCAGTTTAAGAGGGGGGACCTGTAACCAAACCAATCCACTAAGCGTGCATCGCAAACAGGAAGCCCCTACTCTGTGTGGTGGTGCTGCTCATCCAGCACTCTCGAGCCAAGGGCAGACAGATTGCACACCTGTGCAGTGCGTCCCCAGGAGCTGTCCTCTGCAGAGAGGACATGTTTGGGAAGAATGAGTTTTAAACTAGCTCCGTTGGCTCCCAGCAGAGGCTGGAAAGCTAGGTTCCCGAAGAGCGATGGAGGAGGACAGAAGGGGTAGCTTATACATTAGAGGGCTCTGGAGCCTATTGCTTTTATTTGATAGGAGTCGTTATGCTGCTGTTTGCATTGCAATAGCATCTAGAGGCCCCAGCCCCTTGGTGCTAGGTGCTGTACAAACATGTAACAAGGAGATGATTCCTGCCCCAAAGCGTTCACAATCCACACGGTCTCTTTTCCTCCTCCCTAGGTTATTTCAGGTGATCTGTACGCTTCACACTGCTCACCTCTCAGCCAATCTTCTCCACCCCAACATCACAGCCAGCGAGAACAACGTTCCATCCAGTCTGACGCCTCCTGTACCACTCCACCGCAGAGCAACTGTGCTTTCCCTGGTACCTGACTCTCTGCACTGACAGCTTAGAGCCCCTGAACCATCTCTGCCCCCCTCCGCCGCAGGGGAAAGGTTCCTCCCAGGAGTTCCAGCCTGCAAACCTCTGCACTGCCCTGGTTTAGGCAAGCAGACCATGTGCTCCTAGGATCTCGCTTTTCACCAGCACTTTTCGCCCTCACTCAGAAAGCGGAGACAAGTTAAAACTGCTTCGATGCCGTCATCCTGTACGCTTTCCTCCTCCCGCTGCTTTTGCAGCAGGTATTCCCAGGGCACCCAACCCCATTGGGAACATAGCGTACCTAGCAACACTTCGCCCAGACGAGCCGTCTCAGCCAGCAGGGTCAGCAAGGATTTGGAAAATCTGATCTCACGTGTTTAAATTTTAAAAAATCCTCTTCTTATGTAATTGAGCGAATGAGAGCTTCAGGGACTGTGAAGCACAACTGGCATGGCCTGCAGTTAACGCAAGCAGTGACAAGAAACCCCCCCATCCATTGGAAATATTCCTCCCATCCTGGGCGTAGAGTCCGGTGCATGAGAATGCGGTACTGGAAACAGAAAGGAGGTCCGCTACCCTTGATGCTTTACTTCCTCACTCATTTTAAAACTAGTGGAATCTCCCCCAATTAAATCTCTGCGAGCGAATCTACCTTTTGCTGCCCCATGGTCACAAACGTTTTCTTTCGGTCTGGACTGCTCTCTCCACGCTTCGACCTTTACGCGTTTTAGCTGGGTGTGTGTTTCCATTCGTCTTTACCCTCCTAAGGCTTTCAGCTGGAAGATGTATTTACAGTGTAAATGTAACAGGACCTGACACACAACCGCAGATAATTAAATGTAACAGCCCTCTAGTTAATAGCCAGGAGCGGCTGTGTTCCATCAGTTAGCTACGTGGAGAATACCGTGTGCTGTATTTGACACATTAATGAATGTAAAGTGTTGCTTGTATTTATTATTCCCAGGTGCTCCACAGCTAAACAAGAAATATGTAACCAGCTTTGGGGGGCTACTTTGGAGGTGCTTTTCAGTGGTGCTATAATTTAAACCCATGGGACTCCAGGGTAGCCTGAAACTTGTCAGTCACGGGCAGATAGTTTTTTTTTTTCTAAGAACATACCTGAGTCCTTAGTTGTTATCTCTGTTCCTCCCATCATCCCTCTCTTTTTCCCACCCTGTATCCTCCCCCTTCCCACAGTACAAGGATCATAAACTTTTCCAAATATGCTTGTTCTTTTTTTTTCTTCTTTTTAGGCCTGTTACTGAATCGAAGGGACCCAAAGCCTGTGTTGCCCCTGCTAGGACTTGGAAGTTATTAGGAAAATAAAATGATGCTAGAAAAGGGGTGTGGCTGATGAGATTTTATCAACTATTTCTTGGTGTGCCAAGGTGGGTGAGGTAATGTCTGTTATTGGACCAGAAGATGGTCCAATAAAAGAGATTGCCTCGCACACCTTGTGTGTCTCATATCCTGGGACCCTGTATACATACTTCTGTTGGACTGGGCTTGTAATGCAAGTGCCTGCTTGTAGGGATGGTAAAAGCTACACATGGATGGTTAGCTCAGCTCAGAGGCAGTGTCTGGTTCTAAGTGTCATTTCTACTTTTCTAGCTATGGTAGAAATGAAGCATCAGGAGCACATCCTCAACCAGGGCCGGCTCTAGCATTTTTGTCTCCCCAAGCAGGGGGGGGGGAAAAAAAAAGCCGCGATCACAAGCGGCGGCAGCTCTACCGCCACTTCAGTCTACGGTGGCAATTCAGCGGCAGGTCCTTCGCTCCGAGAGGGAGTGATGGCCCCGCCGCCAAACGGCCGGATGTGCCGCCCTCCTCTTCATTGGCCGTCCCAGGCACCTGCTTGCTAGGCTGGTGCCTGGAGCCGGCCCTGTCCTCAGCTGCTGTAAATCGGCTACCGTTGACTTTTGCTTTACGCTGTCTGAGGGTCTGGCCCCGTGGGACTTGACAGAGGTCAGAGGGAGAGAGTCCAATATTCCATGTCTCTTTCAGCAAACAACAAGCTTATGCAGCCCTCGTTACATATAGCAAGGGACAAATGTGCTGATACCGACTGTCCAGTTTAAATCCCTAAAGACGCAGGGCCGTGGTGGATTTTTCTCTTGATGCACGTGGTTAAGGCAGGTGGGAGGGCGCAGAGCGTAATGTGAACAGCAGAGTGTTCAGAGGTGTTTTATGCATAGTCCAGTGGGCAATGCGGAACTTGCTGTCTCTTTTCCCTACAAGTTGGAACCTCTGCCTCCCCCCCTCTTTGATTCCTGCTCTTATGCTAGACGTAAGAAAAGCACCACTTGGTGAAACTCCCTAAGCAGAAAATCCTCTCTCCAGTGCCCGGTGTTCGTGCAGATGATGCAGGCTGATAGGCAGCCATCAGTGGAGCCTCTTTGGCCAGGTAGGGCACGTTTGCTGTGCTGCTTTCTTGTAGGTGGGGAGTGGCTGGCGTATATTCATGATTACAGACCCACCAGTCCATCCTTCCCCACAACTCCTATGCAGCAGCCTGGAATGATTCTTCATGGAGCCCAGGTCCATGGTAGATGTGGAGAGGACACAAGTTGAGTGGCACTTCTGGCTCTCTGAGCCTTTGGGGTGGGGCCAGATGCCCCTAAAATCTGATCAAGTTTTGGGGCAGATAGTTTGGGTATCGTCAGAATCCCGGGAAGCACGCAGGGAACACTGGCACCGAGCCACAGGATTTGCACACGTTGGTTTGCTACCCTGTGCCGCCTCTTCGTGTTGATTTCTGGACTCCTACAGCTGCCCTCTGTGGCAGCTGTGAACCAGGAATTACCTCTCTGTCTGTACCATGGGAAACCCAGTGTGGTTTACTAATGCGGCACCTTGAGACACTTTGTTCCTCACAAAAAGCAAATTTACCAGCCAAATGAACTTGCGTGTGAATTTTTGCACTCAACATCAATGGACTTACAACTTTCATAAAGCTGTGTGTGTGTGTGTGTGTGTGTGTGTGTGTGTGTGTTCAGTGCTCACGAGCATTTATCCTGAGGAGAGCCAATAGCGCTCTACTCCAACCCCATCCCAGGTCACTCGGGAACCCGGTGGCCCCACTTTGAGCAGCCCTGTGGACTCTGGAACAACAGTCCATAGATTCCCAGGCCAGAAGGCACTATTGTGATCAATGTATAAGACAGGCCAGAGACCTGCCCCAAAGCAATTCCCAGAGCAGATTTTAGAAAAACGTCCAAGCCAGCACTTGGCAGCTGTGTGTGTGTGTGTGTGTGTGTGTGTGTGTGTGTGTGTGTGTGTGTGTAAGGGTGATTGCCAAGTGTCTTTGCACCCGAACCCCCTACATTGCACATGGCTCCAAGAACCCACTCTCAAGGGCTGGTCCCTCAGCTGCTGTAAATCCTCATAGATCCACTGCCTGAGAAGCTAACCCTATGCCTTTTGCCACTCATGTTTGCTACGACAGCGAGTGGAGGGGGGATTGACTGCATCAGGGAATGGAGGATTGGCTACCTAAGGGGTGTGAAGTTTAAGGAATGTAACTTTATAATGTATCCAGGTGAGTCAACAGCTCTCCTGACCACAGGATCTAAATGGCTCCTGTGAGTGAAAAGATGCAAAACCATGACAGATGCAATTCCTAGAGCCAAACTCAAATGAAAAGAAAAATTGAGATCCAGATAAAAGAGAGGTTTTCAGATAAATTTATAACGGTCTGAATTTTGCTACTGAAGTGGCCTTAAGTTGACCACTTAAGTGATCTAGTTTTGCCACTTAATTGAAAATTGCAACTTCGGCTATCCGGATTCACCACTTAGGCACTGTGGTCTTCTTAAGTAGAACTCTTTAGTAGCTGAGACCACTTAAATGGCATAATTATTCAATAAACCTCTGTTCAAACCATTACAATATCTCTTACTCTCTCTTTTTTTTTAAACCACTTCTTTCAAACAAACAATTTGCATCCTGAAAACAAACTAGAGTCAGCAATGGTATTCCAGACAATTATAACTAGTTTTCAATTCAATTTTTATTTTTTTTATCATTTCTATGGATAATATTGATGTTTATTTTTAAACATTTTTTTCTGATTTTTATCAATTTAAATTTTCACAGTTGTGGGAAATTATGGGGGGGCAGACAACAATTATTTGACAGTAGACGTTGAGATTCAAAAAGTTAGTTTTATAATCGTTCAAACACAAGGTTAACATCACACGTCAAAGTATACAAAGTAAATATCTTTAAATCAAGCTCTTAAGTCCTCAAGCAGCGTTTTTCTTACTTTGCCTAGCAGTGAATTTCGATCATGGGTGGAAATATTTGTTGGTTGGTTTGTGTGTGTACAGAGAAATTGACATCTACTAACATTGACCAGTCCAATCCTCCCACCCTAACTATGGCAGCCGAGGAAAAATAAGTGGCACAAGGGGCAGAGTTCAGGGAGAGCAGATCACCTGGCGAGAGAGATGCAAATCTCACTTACATGGAAACTCCATGCAAACTTCAGACCATTTCGGCTGGGACTTTTCACATTACATAGCAAACCTGAGGCCACATAAACGGTGAACTCCAGACAAGAAATGCAATAAACCTCTCCCTTTTTATTCAACAGTCTGTGTTATACAGATTGCATCGACTAAAGAGCTCCAGTTTAAAAAAAAAAAGCGAGGCAGTTGCAATGGAGGGGGAGTTAGTGATCCAGACAGGTAGAGCCGGATGTCAGAACCTGCCCAGGGCTGTACCTGGCAAGCAAAAAAATATTTGAGGCAAAAATCCAGACCACTCCAGCTGAAAACCTCCCCCTCTTACATTCTCTCACTTGCTGTCTCTGTAACTCGTTTTTTTTTAACTCTAGCACATTTGAGGAGATCATTTATATGAAAGATCCTGCACAAAATAGAGGGAGATTATTATTTAACTGAGATGTACCACTTGTACGTCCGAGTCCCTGCTACCTACCAGAGATTTGTTCGCCAGTAACTGGTAACTACCAGAACATATTTTCGGTTAAGTTCTAGTTCAAAAGACTCCCTTAATTCTTAAAGTGTAAACAGAGTTGACTAATGAAGCAAACTCCAGCTGTGATTGTCAGGCCAGCTGTGTGTGCAGGTCTGAGCCTATGGCTCCAGCCCCCAACGAGTTACACCTGATCTTCTAGTTTCACTTTCAGAAGTGGGAAGTTCTCACAGGCGCCTGTTCCAGCACTGAGCTAGCATCACACGCCCCTGAGCATTGATTCGAACAGATGATGTGCAGGGCTCGGGACTGAAGACATGGGACTGGAAGTCCCTGCTCTGCTGTGGAGACATTCTATGGCATAGCAGCCCCACGCTTGGACACAGCTTTGTCTGGAACAGGGATGGAACAACATGTCAGGAAGCGCTTGACCTTCCTGACCTCCTTCTGGAACAAACTCTGGCCAAACACCATCTCTGCTGACAGGCCCTCGCAGGGGTATTTTGATCCTGATCCTGTCGCCCTGCGGCCAGACCTAGAGCCGGATCCTGTCCTCCCCAGTGCCTCTCTCTTTAGTGCGCTGTATGATTTCAGAGCCAGGAGTGCAGAGGAGCTGAGCGTCAGCCGAGGAGACAAACTCTGCGTCCTCAAAGAAGAGGGGGAATATGTCTTAGCCAGGAAGCTTAAGGGGGAAGCAGCGCTGGGCTACATCCCTGCTAATTACGTGGCAAGGATCAACGAGGAAACCTCCCACCAGCCGTAAGTATCTGAATCCCAGCTCTTCACTGTGGCTTGTGTGGGGATAAACTTTTGTAAGTGGAGCACAAAGCGGGGGGCACTACTGCAAGCTGGATCTCACGGCACGAGTGCTATATATTGGTCTAAGGCCCCTGCAGAACTGGGCACCGGGAGCTCTCCTCCCAGCTAGGGACAAAGGACAACGGCTGGGCCTGCTGCCTCTACATTGAGGCTGTCCCCGGTCAGCTCGAATTGCAGCATTGTCTTGTCTCTCTTTTCTTTGTAATTTGCATTTGGTATTGTCGGCCGTCAGGGCCTAGGGCACACCACCGTTATTGGGCTGGGGGGGTGGAACCGGCGCATCGCACAGTTCTGGGCCAGGGCAGAGAGACGTCGGAGCTGTTTGTTCTGTTTGTAGAGCAGCTACCACAACAGGGTCCTGCTCCAGGCCGGGGGCTCCTAGGTGCTCTGGTAATACAAGTAATAATGTTCCCTGGCAGGTGGCAGCCAATGGCCTGCGCCACTCACAGGTTCTGTACTAGTGTTGCTCTCTCGGTTAGGGTGTGATTTTTTTTTTTAACTGAAATAGTGATGCTGGTAAACCCCCCTGCCTGGACACATCAATACCAGTCTGAAAGGGTCTTGTCCCAGATATAGCTATTCCCCTTCCTGTTTGAGAATACACTGTACCAGGATACATCACCTTTCTAGTGGTATAGCTGCCCTTTAGACCAGAGGGCTTAGACCGGTTTGATTAAAGCAATGTCACGTGTGTGTGTGTGTAGACAGGGCTTTTAATCCCTCTTTGTGCTGCATCCGTCCCCAAAACCACCGCTTGTCCTCTTCTCCCAGACGGGGGGGGGGCGGGCCGGGGGGGCTGAGGCTGAGCAGACAGCTGTGGCAAGCTTGGCAGAGGGAGGCAGCTACCATGCTGAACCCCCGAGCCCCACCAGACAAAACCCCTGTTTCGGCACAGCCATGGGCCAGTCGAGTTCGCCAGCTCAGGGGCTGGCACAAGGGGGCACTGTAGGAGCTCTGCACAAGGGGAGGATGTTGTGGAGTTCCAGCAGCAGCAAGCTGCTACTCCTGCACCCCGCTACCCCCACAACAACTCCCCATTGATACCTTCGCAGCAGCTGATTTTAAATTTAGAACATTCACCTCTTCCTGCCCAGTGGGCGAGTGAGTTTACTATTATATAAGGCAGCGTTTCTTTCCCCACTCGCAATAATCCAGTTCCAACATGCTTTGTGAAGTACACCTGAGACACTTCCGTTCTCCCAGTCTCAGGCCCGTGAGTCAGTCAGTATCATTAGCATATTACACACACGCTGGAAGCAAGCATTGTGAAAACTCCTAGTGAACTCCCAGTAAAAGTTTCTCCTCCGGTCTTTCAAGTCTATTCAGGTGGTATCTGAGCTCTTACTTATCTTCCTGAATATGGAATCAAAGGGGTGGATGACAGCATCCAGTACACACCACAGTCAGTTTTCAAAGTGAAATCACTTTGCATTTTAAAATAAATAGGTTTCCGTTCCATGTCTCCATCTCATTAAGATCAAATAGACAGGACGCCGACAAAACAAATGGTTGTGTGGTACAGCCAGAATCTATGTTTTTTCAGCACCGATAAAATAGTTTGACTTAATCAAGCTCCAGCTAGGGCTGAGCAAGCAGTTTGGGGGCTGAACTGAAAAATACAAGGAAAAATTGATTTTTGGGGAGGGTTTTTATCAAAATGAAAAAATAATTGCAGGTTGGCGGGAATCAACATTTTCTAAACAATTTTCTAAACAACATTTTCTAAACAAACCAGTGTGCCATTTTTGAATTTTTTCCCAAAAATCTTTTTTTCCAGCCCACACTGTCCACCAGATTCAATCTGAATTCACAGGTAGGGTTGGTCACCCCAAAACTGCATTTTTCAGTGAATTCAGTAATTGCCAAAAAATAAAAATTCCTCCAACTCTCCACACAACCCATGCAAGCCCTAGTATCAATGGCAGGGTGGGCATTGTACCAGTAGTCATCAGTATATACTGATGCCTGTCATATGCCAGGGGCATGACCCTTGTGTAGTCCTGACCCTCATCCACTGATTGGGGCTGGGTCAGTCTCTTCCCAGCACACCTGTGTTTCACACCTGTATTACAGGTGACACAGGGGGTAAAGGAACCCACCTTTTCTTGCTGGTGGTATCAAACCTCAGTTTCGATCCGGAGTGACAATGTTTGGTGGTAGCGCTTGTGTAGAGCATAAACCCACAGTGCAGTTTAGTTGTTACGACTGGCAACGCACCAGGACAGCAGAAGGCAAGTCCAGGCAAAGCTTCATTGACAAATTCATTCATGGGCCCCATGAATGAGAGTAGCTGATTTAGAATAATTCCAGGAGAGGAGTGAAAGTCACTAGTACTCCTATGTGGAAGAAATTGATCCTGAACCTGTGGAGTGTACTTGGCTCCATTGATGCTATACATTCTCACTTTCATGCCTCACCAATTCATAGTTTCTTTAATAATCTGCAGCCAGCAATAATCAGTGTGGCAGAAAGAAATTAGTGGGGCCTACGCAACAGGCTCCCGATTTCTGAAAAACGGCTTCTGAGTTTGTTACCGAATAGTATCGTGAGTGCAGTTTTGCAGGAGCAAAGAATCTGATCTCACTAAGTCGTCCAACTCGCTGGCTGCACCCACACAGCACCTGGTAGACTGGGAATTTCAGAAGCAGTAACTTAGCTCACTGAAATCCAGGGGCAAAACTCACCGGCTACTCAGAGCCACCGCCAGCAGCAGCAGAGAAGTAAGGATGGCATGGAATGGTATCGCCACCCTTACTTCTGCACTGCCACTGGCAGGACGCTGCCTTCTGAGCTGGGCACCTGGCCACTAGCTGCCACTCTCCAGCCACCAGCCGCTGCTTTCTGGCCTCCCAGCTCTGAATGCAGTGCAGAAGTAAGGGAGGCAATACCATGACCCCTCTAAAATAACCTTGGGATCCCCCCTGCAACTCCCTTTTGGGTCAGGACCCCCAATTTGAGAAATGCTGGTCTCCCCCGTGAAATCTGTAAGCACCCAAAAGACTATATTTCGTGGTGGGAGACCAGATTTCATGGTCTGTGACGCGTTTTTCATGGCCATGTATTTGGTAGGGCCCTACCCATATACCAATCAAGGCCAAGGATTCTTTTCAGATTCAGTCATTTTATTTTCAGGAACTGCAGCGATGCATTGCTATTCACAGGACAGTAGCTTCTTGCCGCCCTCACCTGTTGTCAGGTCCCCCTTGTGCGAGGGGATGCCCCTGCACGCAGGCATGACGCGGTCCCTCTCTGCAGCTTGCAAGCTAACGAAACGCGAAAGATAAATTGTGGGAGGGAAAACTGAAGGGAAGTGACTAGCCCAAGCAGTAGAGCCAGGAATTGGCCCCGGGCTGGTGCACTAGCCGTTAGCCCACATTGCCTGCTATTTTGGAAAATAAAAGTTAGAGGCTTATCCAGAGAGGTGTGACTTTGGAATGGAAACACCAACCTGGTTGTAAGGGCGACTGTAGATAAATCGGGTTCTGCCCCAGCCAGTAGGTAGCCAGGATTCCCCCAGCTGGCTAGAATGCTGAGGGCAAGACTGCGGCCCAAGGGAGATAAGAAGCCTTTCACCCAGGTGTAACACAGCGGCTGGAAGGCCAGGGTCTGTGGACGAGCCTGCTGCTCACAGCAGTGTGTGCACTTTACACCCTCCTACGCAGCCGGGCAGTGGGTTGTCTTCACCTGCGGCCTGCCTGTGATGCTGTGATTCTGCTCCCATCGCAGGTGGGGGTCTTGATGGAACCGCCTGGCCCCGGGCCTGGCAACCTACATTCATTTTTGGTTGACGGGGGTGAATGTGCGCTTGCAGCTTGCCCAGAACCTTCACGCTAGGTGAAGAGACGGGAGGGGGTACAGTGCTAACAGCCTGGGAGGAAGCAGCTAGCCGGGGTTTATTGCAAGTGAGCCTGTTGCGGGGGAGCGAGACCAAGAGCCTGTCAGATCCACACCCCATCAGCGCTTGTGGCTGAGGCAAATACTCCCTTTCCTTCTCCCTTCTGTGCAGTTACACCAACCCCAGGACAGGCTCAACCTGTCTTCCCCTCTGCCCCTCCCAACAAGAACAAACAAGCGAGGTACAAACAAGAACAGGACATGCCAGCTGTGCCTTGGGCCGAGTATACGAAGCTGCTGGATGGATCAAGTCACTGGTAAACACAGGCTCAGGGGCACCGTTCACCCGGCCCCCTTTGGGAGCCTCTCCCCGTGCATGCGTGGGAGTGTGCGGGGATACTAACAGACCCTTTCACTGCTCATCCCTTTGTAACAAACACCAGGGCAGCTTTCTGCAGCAGTGGCCTCGAGTACCCTGGCGTCTGCCTTTACTCATGTATTGGCTGGGAAGCAATGACCTCGGACCCTTTCCCAGATGATTTTTAACAATAGATTTGCACAAATTATAGGACTAGAGGAGTTGGAGGGGGAGGACGGAGCCGGGATCCACTTGCGTCCATCAGAATTCCTCACCGACAGGATTTTAGGAGCAGTGCAGTTTAGGTTAGTAAGCTTCTTGGGGCAGGGACCGTCTCTTTCTGGGTTTGTACAGCGCCTAGCACAATGGAGTCCTGCTTCACAACTAGGGTCCCTAGGCACTATGATCATACAAATAAAGAATGTCATAATTAGAAGAGTAGTGAGAAGAGACATATAATAGGGTTCCTGGCCCCCTGCACCCTTACACACACACACTGGCCACGTATACATTTGAGCGTACAAATTTTAGTACCCAGGCCTGTTAAGACGGGATAGTCCTGATCGGGCTCTGGGCAGGGACTGTGCAAAACGTCCCTGGTGCGGTGTTTAGTGAACCCTCCGCACTTAAGGAGCTTGCAAGAGTTCTGCTTCATTCTGTGTCCAATTGCAATTGGCTGGTGCCTGTAACAAAGAGCTTCCCAGAGCCCTGTGTCTGTGTCTGGGAAGCTCAGCCCTTAAAGGTCCTGTCCCCAATAGCACACTTTGCACAGCTCTGCCCAGAGCACCTCACACCTGCCCTGCCTTGCTCCTCCAATCTTAGACCTCCTTTGGTCAGAGACTGACGATCGTATGGCATTTTGCCAAGCACAGGGTAGTTTTGTGACAGGACAAAGAGAAGAAAGACCGCCAGCACATTTTTACTTGTGACCTAATCCATATTTGACCCTGGATTTTCTAGAACTGAAGGACAAATAAGTGCCTTGTTTTAAGTGCTACCAAACCCTTCTAATTCTTCCTGGTTCCTTAACTGCTGAATTAAGATCAACATGGCCGGTGTCTTTGGTGGAGTTCAGTGTTTATAGGAGACATGCCATTGGTTCTAAAGACCTGTTCTTATCTGGGGCAAAGCGCCGGGCTTCCCTGTACTCTCCTCTGGAGTCCAAAGAATGAAGGAAATAGTTCAATGTTAACAAGCTGTGATACCAGATAACAAAAGGCCCAGGTGAAACTGAGCTAATCAGTCAACAACCGCTTCGGAGCCCAAAGGTTAGCAATGACGTCAGTCAGACGGTGGGGGCGATTGTTTGCGGGTGCTCCTGTCTCTGCACTGGAAATCAGCTGTTCTGCTGCTCATTAGGCAGTTGCACAAACACAAATAGTGATAACCACAGTACTATGGGCTGGAACTCAAGAACCAGCGTCCCTGCTATTCCAGCTCGGTGGGGACGGGGGGGGGGGGGGGGGCATACCTGGCATCCTGATCTTCTGTCCAGCCCTGCCACTTGGACAGAAGCCATTTCTGACCAACCCTCAGCACTGGGACTGGGATTTCTGCTCCCTTTGTGCCACATAAGACGTACAAAGCCGCTGCAGAGGGCAGGGAATGAATGTAACATGGTTCATACCCAAGGGGAAGGACGCTGTGTGGGACACATCAGAAAACAGCGTGTGTGTCTGATGTGACTAGTCCAGGGAGCGACATTATACATCAAGGAACAGAAATCGACATCAAAGGGCAGCGCCTTCAATCCTGGGGCACGTGCCCCCGCAGTGGGTGTGGGTGAAGCTAACAAACTGTGCTGCTGGCTTGTATGTGTGCAGCCACAATATACATTACTGGACTGAAATCCACATCAAAGGGCAGCTCCTTGAATACTGGTGAGCATGAGCACTGGGAAACTAGCAAACCTTTTCTCTGGCGTTTGCCTGGGCATCCCTCGCACCAGGTGTTCGGTGGGCTAAGCAGGGCTGGGTTACAGATGACGAGGTCTTTTCAAAACAAAGGAAATGGTCGGTTGGACTCCGCATCCAGCCCCACGTCCAGGCTCACATGAGCAAACACAGTTACGCACCAATATAACCCACTAAACGCCATTCCTAAGAAATGCCAGATCATACAACTTCAGCAACACCCAAGCAAGTGATAAATATGCAAATTAAACCTGCCGGCACTGGCCACCCCATTTTTACTTGCTAGTTATCAGGGGGCTGGAGTTTTCTTCATCAAGTCTTTTATTACCTGCCTTAGGAGGTTTTACTGGTGTCCATCACTCCTGTATCATGCGACCTTCTGCATAAAACAGAGTCGCGCCCGTGAGCCCACCTGGGCCAGATCCTCAGCTGGCGTCGATCAGCATAGCTCTGTTGAAGTCAGTGCAGTGCCGCCGATTAACCCCAGCTGAGGACCTGACCCTCCTTCGCTTGTCCCCTGGCGCATGCTATGGCTAAACGTAGCCAGCTGCAGCCACACAGTGCAGAGCCCAGCACGGTCCACGCTGCCCATTTAGGTGCATTATTGGGTTTTACTCTGACTCATCTCGTCTCAACGCCTCTCGGGGCCCGGGCGCGGCGAGGGTCTGTCCTGGGGGCTCTGCCGCTCTGATCGGCCTTTTGTCTTTCTTGCAGCTGGTACTTCAGAGGAGTCAGTCGAAATGAGGCCCAGCAGCTCCTTCTCTCACCGCCCAATCAACACGGCTCCTTCCTCATCCGCGACAGCGAGAGTAACCGGGGGGAGTATTCTCTGTCAGGTAACCCCCGAGCACTCTGCGGCGTCTGGCCCTGCTGCTCTGCAGCTGGCTGTGGTTCATTTCTGCCTTCGCGCCACAAATGGGGCTCAGCGCTGCCCAGGAGCAGAGGGTGGCACAGCTGGTGGGAAAGGGAAGGGAAGATGGTTGTGAGCTACCTTGCCACCTACTTCCATCCTGGGGCTGGCCAGAGGCCAAACTGACCCCTGGCACAATTTAGATCAGCCTCAAGGTGCTTCTTGGCAGGGTCAGTTTTAGGTTCTCTCTCAGTCGCCCTTCTCTGGGCTGTGCCAGGCCCTGCTATAGCTTCGGTAAGATGAGGGGAAAGGGAAGCGATCAGCATATACCACATGCAAGTGGGAGAAGCCCCTGGGCAAAGGAACGTTCTGCCTGAGGACCCGGGCTCACCAACATGCAGGGATGTGTTTAAAGCGGTTTATAGCGTCCTGTTAAGAAGGATTCACTTCAGCTCTGAAAAGGGACAGAAAGCCACGCCAATGGCCATTGAGCGCCCTGCGTATCTATGCAAATATTGATCGCTGAATCATTGTGGGAAAGGAAAGTACAATGCTCTCATTCAGGGATATGAAAGCCATAAACAATTTACAGCTTCATAGTCCTGAGCTGCAGGGTTTATTTCCAGTGGTTTGTTCTATTGTTCTGTGGATTATATATAAAAAAAGAAATTCCCGCTTTAAGCTATCAGGGCCTGATTCAGATCTGATTTACAGTGATGTCAATTCATAGACTTTAACACCAGAAGAGCCCATTTTAATCATGACCTTTGGCATGACACAAGATAAAGAACCTCACCCAATAATTTCTGCATCACGCCCATAAACTCTGTTTGCAAATTAGCATACAGTGATATTCAGTCTTGACTTAGACTTCAAGTGACGGGAGATTGCACCATGTCCCTGGGTAAATTGTTCCAATGGTTAATTACCCTCACTGTTAAAAATTTACCTCTCCAGTCTGAATTTGTCTAGCACAGGGGTCGGCAACCGTTCAGAAGCGGTGTGCCGAGTCTTCATTTATTCACTCTAATTTAAGGTTTCGTATGCCAGTAATACATTTTAACGTTTTTAGAAGGTCTCTTTCTATGTCTATAATATAGAACTAAACCATTGTTGTATGTAAAGTAAATAAGGTTTTTAAAATGTTTAAGAAGCTTCATTTAAAATTAAATTAAAATGCAGAGCCCCCCGGACCGGTGGCCAGGACCCGGGCAGTGTGAGTGCCACTGAAAATCAGCTCACATGTCGCCTTTGGCACGCGTGCCATAGGTTGCCTACCCCTGGTCTAGCGTTAGCTATCAACCATTGGATCTCGTTGGCCTTGGTCTGCTAGATAAAGAGCAGTCTACTATCTAATCTCTGCCATATGTTAGTATTTAGAGACCATTATAGACCAAGTCACCTGTTAACCACCTCTTGGGTAAACTATCTAGATTGAGCTCTGTTAGTGTGGAAGTCAGTGTTGTTACACTGGTGTGAATGAGAGCAGAACTGAGGCCAGAACCAGCAACGCTCAAGGGAGGGGACTAGGGCTGGTTGCATGGGTGACTGAACTCTGTTTCAATTTCTCCTTTGTTTTTCCCCTCGCAGTCCGTAATCATGCTAAAGTCAGTCATTTCCGGATCTGTAAGGGGCCTGACGGAGGTCTGTACATACAAAAGGGACAACCTTTTCCCAGCATGGAGGAGCTGCTCACCTTTTACACAGTAAATTGGAAAGTTGTACAGAGCCCCTTGTTACAACCCTGCATCCCTAAGGTCTGTGTACACAACACTAGTGTCAGCTAGTTTCTTTCACTCTTACCCTCATCTTAAACCTGATGCTCACCATGCGGTTGCTGGTCTGGGCTGTTCTCTTTCTTCATTATTTCATTTTAGTCTTGTAACTTGTTCTGTGGTTGTGATAGGGTAGGGAGCAGGTGATTTTGGGTTGAGCATTAGCCTGCTAAACCCAGGGTTGTGAGTTCAATCCTTGAGAGGCCATTTAGGGAACTGGGGTAAAAATTTGTCTGGGGATTGGTCCTGCTTTGAGCAGGGGGTTGGACTAGATGACCTCCTGAGGTCTCTTCCAACCCTGATATTCTATGATTTGCTGGGGGACATGCTGGCCATTAGAAAGAGGCATTCTGAAGGACAACGCAGGCGGTTTCATATAGAACTGTGTGCATTTTTTTTTTTTTTGGTCAAAACTTTTTTTTTTTTTTTTTTTTTTAAAAAAAAAAAAATAAGAAAAAAATAAAAAATCTCCAGTGGGAGAAATGAGGCCAGAATGAAAAAAAATCAGTGTTCATTCTGTCAAACAAACAAAAAATCAGTGGAAAAAAAATGTTGACAATGAAAAACGTTTTGTTCAGCATTTTTTCACAGAAATGTGTCCATAATTTTTTGAGCAGCTCAATTTTTGACGCTTTATTAAATGAAGAGTTTAAGTGTCCTTTTAATATAGCTGCCCTCTTATCCGTCCATCAGCCTCTTTGCTTTCAGGCTCTGCTGTTAATTATAAGGCTAAGGAGTCTGTCTCGTTCTGGAGCTTTTATCTGGTTTCCCTTTCTTCAAGTTGAATTGCACAGGGCTTTCTCAAATGCTTACTCCATATTCAAGGCCAGCTTTAAGGTCATTGGTTCCAATTCAGAGTGAAAAAGAATTTGAGATGTAGGAATTTCCCCTGGAACAGAAACTCCAAGTTTCAACCAGCTCTACTGAGAAATTTAATTTGCAGGAGACAGAGACCAGTTTCCTATATTTTCACTGAGCACCCTCTTAACATACAAATTAATATTAATGGTGCAGGTGGAATGGTCTCTCCCAGTGATCTGAGTGGCTGCTTCCCGCTGCATACCCTTTCTAGCAGCTTCTCTGCCTTCACGCTTCCTGCAAGACCTAACCGCCTCCCGAGAGAGGCCAGAGCCCTCCGTATCCCTTGAGGCTTTGTAGTTCCTGGTCCTAAAATGGTGACAGATTTCTGCAGTCTCAAAGTTCTGTTCTCATGGGCATTTCTGGCTCCCAAATGTGCCCAGTGCTCCAAAGACAGCAGCCACTGCAAAGGATTCTGGGACACATCTGAGGGTCAGAAGTGCACACGGAGAATCAGGATGAAGAGGTGCTGTTTGGGACTGGCCTGGATGCTGACTTCGGTTGCTTTCTCAGCCTATGCCCAAGTCTGCCCTGGTTCATAAAGCTGCCTCTACCAGACGGCGCAGGCCTGAAATGAAATGGTCTATGTGTCTATACGTTTAATACAGACCCCTCCGGTGAGAGATGCATGGGAACGGCCCCGTTCAGAATTCACCCTCGGGAGGAAACTGGGGGAAGGATACTTCGGAGAGGTGTGGGAAGGATTGTGGAAGAACATGGTGCCAGTTGCCATCAAAATCATAAAACAAGGTGCGTGGATGTGAAGGCAGGGAACATTAACCATGCGCCGCCTCGTCTTTCACTCACTGCCATGAAAGATCTCTCCAGTCCGTTTCATTTCCCCCTTGATCACCCAACCTCTCATGTCAACAATCAGACTGAATAAACTAACCGTAGATAGGATCTCCTGCCTGGTGTAGTCGGGCAACCCTAGCTCCTACGGCTACTTGCCTGTAACACATCTGCACACACCCATTCGAAAATCCAGTCCGATCTACGCTGAGGTCTTTACAAAATGGCTTCCCACCCCCGCTCCCCACAATCACTCTGGAGGCCTCATGGTAAGACACTGTACTGTTGTGTGAAACAGGGGCTCTCAACCTTTCCAGACGACTGTCCCCCTTTCAGGAGTCTATTTGTCTTGCGTACCCCCAAGTTTCACCTCACTTAACTCCTTGCTTACAAAATCAGCCATAAAAACACAAACGTCTCACAGCTCACTAGTACTGAACAATTGCTGACATCTCATTTTTACCAGATAATTTCCAAATAAATCAATTGGAATATAAACACTGTGCTTACATTTCAGTGTGTCGTATATAGAGCAGTATAAACAAGTCATTGTCTGTATGGAATTTTAGTTTGTACTGACTTCGCCAGTGCTGTTTATGTAGCCTCTTGTAAAACTAGGCAAATATCTAGAGGTGTTGATGTACCCCTTGGGAGATTTCTGCGTCCCCCCCCCAGAGGTAGGCACTAGTGTGGAAGTCCCTGCTGCACTCAGCCAGCTACCTGAAAATGGCATCTCAATCCTAACGAGAACAACCTCAATAAATGTTACTGTTAATGCGCTGTGAGGGAATGGGGTGCGTGAGCGCCGAGGGGTGGGGCTGGGGCTGGAAAGCTCCCGCAGTCCCGTGGAGAAAGCCAAGATATGAATGGCAGGATGAACTTAACGAGAAACATACTCACCCCGGCAATGTCTCGGCTTCCTCCACAGCTGACATGAAGGCGGAAGATTTCACCAAAGAGATTCAGAATCTGAAGCGGCTGAAGCACGAGAGGTTGATCCAGCTCCATGCCGTCTGCTCTGTGGGCGAGCCCCTGTACATCGTCACCGAACTCATGAGGAAAGGCAACCTAGAGAGCTACCTCAGCAGTCAGTACCACCCTGCCCTTACTGCCTAGCGCCGCGTGGGGAGTCACCCGTGTGGCACTGCCGCTCTGGGCACTCGAGTCTCCCGGCACTCGAGAGCACCGCGAAGGGACTGCGAGGCCCAGCCGGGTGCCTCTGCCCTGCCCAAATTAAAACGGCAACAACGCACTAATGTCAAAAGAGGCAGCCCGCCAAGCTCTGCTTTCATTTACATTGGGGCGAAGGCAAGACAGCTCCATCCCAATCGATGGAGCAATTCCCATGTAAGGGAAAGCAGAATTTGGCCCCGGGTACATTCTAATTCACCCTACATCGGCCGGGGACAATTTGTCATTTTACATTTTAAAGCTGTTATAGAAGCCCTCGCCCCTACCACCAGTAACCACGCAACAGGCCTCTTTGCAGAAAAGCCTCAGTCGTCCTGAGCACCCAGATCTGAATGTAAGGCTTGGTCTTCGCGCCGTTTTGGGCACTGGTATAACTCCCTTGGTCGGGGGTGATTGTTTTACTGAAATAGATATACCAGACAAATACCTCGTGTGGGTTATAGCAGTATAATGCTGTCTTATTCCAGTACAGTTTATTCCCCTTCCTTTCGGGAGGGTGGTACTGCTCAGACTATACCAGCGTAGTGAAAGCGGTACAACTTGTGTATGTTGGCAAGGCATAGGCTTCCTCGAAGCTCCTGCAGGGTTGAACTCCTGCCGTCGCTTGACGCCCCGCTCTAAGAAGAGCTGCTGTGGCGCGTTGAGACAGTCGCGCAATCCGAATGGCGTGCTGCTTCGTAGTTCAGCGACTCCAAAGGCGGTTGTTTCACTGGGGGACTGGGAGAGGGAGTTTTCAGCTCCCCAGTCTGCTCGACCACAGCCTCTGTTGGAAGCGAATTGCCAAAACGTGTGCCTCTGAAACTGACAAAAGGGCAAGTCTCCTGTCACCATCTTGATGAGTCAGCCGTGAAACTGCACGAAGAACATGCCTGTGGTGGTGTTTAGTTCTCTCGTTCTTTTCTTTCACTCCCCCAACCAGGAAATAGTTGTTAGGGAAACAAGTCACACAGCTCCCAGCTGGGACCTGTTCTTTCCTAGGTAACGTCCTCCATTGACTAATGGGACCTCCTTTGGGGGTATGGGTCCAGCAGGGCTCATTATCCAAGGAGCAGCAACTCCCAAGTAGGATGGGTTCTGAAACACAACTCCCAGCCAAGCGTTAGACTCCGTGGCTCCTACTCCTAACAGGGAACTACTTATGAGGACCATCTTCCTCACTGCAACAGAGCTCACAGGGGTCCAGCGCCTGCCAAGCTCTGAAACACGCACTTAACGTTACAGACATGAAAGTCAAGGGGAACCTGCACGTGCTCAAAGTTAAGCATGTGCGTGAGTGCTTTGCAGAGGTGGGGGCTGAATAACGAAGGCTACACACGTTCATGCTCTGGTATAGTAATGTGATGTATGGAGATACACCTATCTCTTAGACCTGGAAGGTCATCAAGTCCAGCCCCCTGCCTTCAGTAGCAGGACCAAGTACTGATTTTGCCCCAGATCCCTAAGTGGCCCCCTCAAGGCTTGAACTCACAACGCTGGGTTTAGCAGGCCAATGCTCAAACCACTGAGCTATCCCTCCCTCCATAACATGAGTGTTTATTTTGTCAGTTCCTAGTGGCGGGTCTCTTTCCCAACAAGGATGTACTGATTCCATAACGTGCTCTGTGAGGGTTTTAATGGATCAGCCTAAAACAGAAAGTGATTTTGGTCCTTCGATCACTGGTTTAACAGGTCTGGAAGGGAGGGCTCTGAGCACGCTCCACCTGATCAGCATTGCTTGCCAGGTGGCCGACGGGATGACGTACCTTGAAGAACAGCACATCGTTCACAGGGACTTGGCCGCTAGGAACATCCTTGTGGGAGACAACCTCACCTGCAAAATCGCTGATTTTGGACTCGCCAGGCTCCTCAAGGTTGGTCTGCTGGAAACTGTTGGTCCCTTTGCCTTGCTTATTTCCACATTCCCTTCCCTGTCCCCAAGGGGCGCCCAGTTCACATTGGAATCTGCTAGCCCCACCCTTGAGGCTTTTACAAGGTGGCACCATCCTACCAACTGGTTAAACCTAGAGACAGCTGATTAACTGGCTGGGGGGGAGGGGTTGCCTTTGAATGCCACAGAACAGACAACTCCACCTCTCTCCAAACACTGACTCTCCTACCTCCGCTCAGTCCCTGCCTGCCTAGAGGATGAGAAACTAGCGCCAGGGATCCGGCCTTGGCTGTCCCGGGTTGACAATACCCAGAGCTAGAACTAGACCGAGGGACTGACTCATGGTCTCCAGTTACATCGCGTGTGGCAGAACACAATTTGATACGTGCTCTGCTCGGCTGTCCCGGGTCTCTGCCAAATCCGTGTCGCGCTGTTGGGGGGAGAGAGCTGTAGGGCTAGCCAGGGTTACTTGAGATGGCAGTTTAGGCCTCTCCTGGCCCCGTGCCTTTGAGAGGGGGGATATTGTGTTTGTTTCCCCTGTGCTCATGGCCCATCTCCTGCTGCTTTTTAGGACGATATTTATTCCACCAGCGGCAGCACCAAAATCCCAGTGAAGTGGACAGCCCCAGAAGTAGCAAACTACCGCACCTACTCGCTGAAGTCCGATGTTTGGTCCTATGGGATCCTGCTCTATGAAGTCTTCACGTACGGGCAGACCCCATATGAAGGTATGGAGCCCACCCTTCCCCCTCCTCTTTGTCCGGCCGTGCTGCCTTTCGGGGGTTACTGTGCCCCGCTCTTTCCGGGAACGCCCTTCACAGGGCGTCTACGCAAGAAAAGCGCCTGTGGTCGCAACGCTCAGAGCCCAGGTCAACTGACTCGGGCTCGCACTGCGGGGCTAAGCGTAGATATTCGGGCTCGGGCTGGAGCCCAGGCTCTGAAACCTGGCGAAGGGGGAGAGTCTCGCAGCTCCGACCTGAGCCCTAATATCTCCCCAGCTATTTTCAGCCCCATGGCACAAGCCCTGCCAGTCCGAGTCAATTGCCCCAGACTGAGACTCGGTGCCACGGATTGGTTTGGTTTTTTGCAGTGTAGATGTACCCTCGTTGTGCTCCCCTTACACAAGGCTGCTGTCCTCTGGCTCCCCACCTCACCGACACCCAGCAGACCTCCCTGATGAAACGTGTTCCCCTCCCCTGCCCCGCCATCCAGCCTTGCTGCAGGGAAAGGAGGCTTTCAGCACAGGGCATGGAGTAGCTACTGCATGACCAGGAGGCAGCCTTGAGAGTTGCTTGACACAGGTTTCACTGCACATGGGAGGTGCACTTGATGAGGGATCGAATGGTGATGGAGAAGCCATTCCATACAGGCTGGCTAGACTCTTCACAGCCACCCTGAGCCATTTGGGGGGATAAACTCCACAACGTGATGGTGAATAGGGTCATTGGAGTTTCTTGTTTCCTTACAGGAATGACGAACCAAGAAACCATACAGCAAATCAGCATGGGCTACCGCCTCCCCCGGCCAAGCACTTGCCCTCCTGAGATCTATAGCGTCATGCTGGAGTGTTGGAAGGGTAACGCTGAGGAACGGCCCACCTTTCTCGCTCTGACAGAGAAACTCTGCTCAATTTACAGACGGGTGCACAATTCGCTCTCCTGATGGAAATGGCCCTACACCCCACCCCCATGATTACTTGGGGTTCCATTCCCATGCCCAGCAAGTGTAGCCGCACTGCTGGGAGTATCCATTGGCTACCCGTGCAGGACTTGAGTCCAGGGGGCATTCTTGTGTTGCACGTTTCAGATGAAGATACACAAGGCCTTCTCCTTGGGAGGGACAGAAAACCGTGCTCCATTTTGGAGAAGTTTAGCCTCCTTGCTATGGTCTGGCTGCTACCTCCACAAGAGGACTATTCATTGTAGATGTGGTACAGCAAAGATGTCACCCTGGATATAAGAAGTTCTTAATCTAAACAGCACAGCAGGATTTCACAAGCTACCCGCTGCATTGAAAGTGAAGTTTCCTGTTTACTTTGTGTGTGTAAACTACTGATGGCTATGGATTTATTCACGACGTGTGTCTGATTTATTTATTGATCAATGCATGTAAACTCACCCAGTTTTCACAGTGCGTGCGGACAATGTAACTGTTCAGTGTACTTGCTAATATCAGTGGCAGGATCAGACCTGGCCGGGTTGTAGTTCGCGGCAAGAAAAAGCCGTGTAAAGCCCTGCTTCCTCCTGGGGGTTTGGAGACATCCAGGCATCCCACATATGGGCAGGATTTGAGTCTCAGATCTGCCTGGACTTTTTCCTCTATGCCTGGAACTGCCAATTACTACTCCCCCCGTTCCCCACAATTTGGACCCACTCAGATATCATTGTATTCCTCTAACCATCATCCTCCCTGCCCCCTCCTGGTGTATATTATTAAGCTCTCATTTGTCTGTCACGTTCCTCATTTAGACTGTAAGCCCTGCAGCAGAGGAACCTGGCTTCTCGGTGTTCCCCAACTGTGAAACCATAAATCATCACCATCATTAATTCATACTCCAGGGAGCGCTGAGCCTGATCTCCCTGTCTTTTAGCACCACTTAGTGGCTGCCTGAAGTATGACATTCTTTTTATTTGTTAATTGCAAATGTTAACTGTACATTTTCTGCCTCTTTAAATACAAGTATTTTAACCAACTTTCTCTGTTTTTCTCATCAAAGTATTGGAGGAGGATCTGTGAAGCTATTGGAAGGTTCTCAAGAGAATCTAGGAAGGGCCCTCTTAAAAAATAAAAACACATCAACTATGTGTATATCCATCTCTTACCATACTTCCTATCTTTCTTATGCATTGGGATAGTTTGCACTTGTGCCTTTAATAATGATGCTTTAAAAAACTGCCAAACATCTTGAACTCTTTTTTCCCTGGCTTGCTTTCCATGGGATTGTACCTACCAATTCCCTGGGTTTGCTAAACTCTGCCTTCTTGAAGTCCATGGTCATTATTCTGCTGTTTTCCCTCCTACCATTCCTTAGAATCAAAAACTCTATCAACTTCATGATCACTTTCATCCAAGCCTCAAATTCTCAACCATTTCCCCCCTATTTGTCAGGATCCAGTGTAGACCAGCCTGTCCCCTGGTTGCTTCCTCCACCTTCTGTAATCAGAAGTTGTCTACAATGCACTCGAAGAACTTGTTGGATAATCTGTGGCCCTGCTGTATTATTTTCCCAACAAATGTCTGGGTAGCTGAAGTTTCCCATCACCACCAAGTGTTCTGCTTTGGATGATTTTGTTAGTTGTTTTAAAAAAGCCACATTCACTACTTCTTCCTGGTTAGGTGGTCTACAATAGACACCTACCATGACATCAGCCTTGTTCTAACCCCATTTAGCCTTACCCATCCATAGCCTTGCAACAGGTCTGCCTCCCATTTCTATCTTGATCTCAGTAGGAAAGATAGTAAGTCTGGTAAGAGCCCACCATGGCTTAACTAGGAGATCGTCAACGACCTGAAACTCTTACAAAAAGTGGAAACCAGGTCAAATTACTCAAGATGAATATAAAAAGACAACAACACCAGCATGTAGGGACAAAAATTAAAAGGCCAAGGCACACAATAAGCTAGGGATATAAAGGGTAACAAGAAAACATTTTACAAATTCATTAGATGCAAGAGGAAGACTAAGGCAGAATAGGGCCATTACTCCATGAGGAGGAAAAGACAATAACAGAAAATATAGCAATGACCAAAGTGTTAAATGCCTTTTTTGTTTCAGTTTTCACCAAAAAAAACCTAGCAGTGATTGGACCACTAACATAGTGAATATCAGTGTAAATGGGGTAGGATCCAAGTTTAAAATAGGGAAAGAACATATTAAGAATTACTTAGACACGTTAGATGTCTTCAAGTGGGCAGGGCCAGACAAAATACATCCTAAAAGACTTACAGTACTGGCTGAAGAATCTCTGATCCATTAGTGATTATCTCTGAGAACTCATGAAGAGCGGGAGAGGTCCCAGAGGACTGAAAAAGGGCAAATATAGCCCCTATCTATAAAAAGGGGAATAAGGACAACCTGGGGAATTACAAATCAGTCAGTTTAACTTTGGTACCCAGAAAGATAATGGGAGCAAATCATCAAACACTTTGTAAGCACGTAGAAGATAATAAGGTGATCGTAACAGTCAACATGGATTTGTCAAGAACAAATCATGTCAAAACAACCCAATATCCTTCTTTGGCAGGATAACAAGCCTTGTGAATAGGGGGAAGCAGTAGCTGTGATATACCTCAACTTTAGTAAGGCTGTGGATACTGTCTCACATGACTATCTCATAAGCAAACCAAGGAAATAAAGCCTAGATGAAACTGTAAGATGGGTGCACAACTGGCTGGAAAATCATACTCAAAGAGGAGTTCTCAATGGTTCACAGTCCAGCTGGAAGGCCAAATCGATGGGGGTCCCGCAGGGCCTGGTTCTATTCAATATCTTCATAAATGATTTGGCTAATGGGATAGAGAATACACTTATAACGTTTGTGGAGGATACCACCCTGGGAGGAGTTGCCAGCGCTTTGCTTTGGAGGCCAGGATTAGAATTTAAAAATGACTTCCTTTAGCCTCCATTCCCCCTAATGCTGGACTGTGAACCATTGATAACTCCTCTCTGAGTATGATTTTCCAGCCAGTTGTGCACCCACCTTATAGTAGGTTTGTCTAGGCTACATGTTGTGAGATCTACAGGTGAAAAGCCTTGTATGGACCCCGTCCAGCACAGTCAACAGGAAGTGTTCCATTGACTTCAATGAGAATTGGATCAGGCCCCATAAAAGGCACAGGGGAGTGGGATCCCTGAGAGTGGGACTGCACATACAGCTGAGTGGCTTTTATGGAGCAGTTATTACATACGGCACATAACGATGTAAGGCAATATGCTCCTGGCTTCTGTTTTGGGGCACGCGAGAGACATTGACCATAGCTCCTTGCCCCAAAACGGAGGCTAGGATACTGCCTTTACACCCTTATGTGTCGCATGTAATTACTGCCTTTTTAACATGCCTGAAATCCTCAGGCTGACGCAAGAATCGCCACTAACCCTCTAAAATTCCATTTCATTCCCTATTCCCCTCCCCTTCGCCTCTTTCCCCGTTTTCTCTCTCTTCCCTTCCTCCCTTTTTAACCTCCTTGACCCTCGTCTTTCTCTATAAATTCCTCTCCCTCTCTTCTCTCCTAGCATCTGTTTTCCCCCTTTCTCTCCCCTTCCCCTCTCCCATGTAGCAGTCTACAGCTGGGTGAAATTCACCCAGGGGACGGCTACACTCCAATCAGGGGGTGTGCTTGCAATCTAGCTAGCTTGGGGATGCTTCACTAGCAATGAAGCCATGACAACACGGCTAACCACCCAAATGATACCTCGGGTCCCAGGTGGGCTTGCAGAGCCCAGGATGAAGTCTGTCCTGCCACAGCGTCACTGCTATTCGTATGTGAGCTTGTTAAAGGTAGGCCTTGTATGTCTACACATGCATCAATCACCCCTCCCGATCGCAGTGCAGATTGTAGGTACCCTAAAGTGAAACCTCATCGTGTCACACATGCCCCTCCACCTCTGGCCTTTAGCTAGGCAGCCCTGCTTGCTTCCCGGGGTTGGTGCCTTGCACCCACCTGAGACCTGGCAGCAATTCACTTGGCTTCCTTCTGGCCTTTTGTTGCCAAGAGAGGCGTGGCTTAAGGGCAGGGCAGCAATTTAGCTATAAAGAAGATGATGTGCAGAGGGCGTTATTGCAAAGTCTGCTCCTAACAGGTACCATCTGACCTGCCTCCAATGAGATACGTTGGCAGAATTACACAGACACTTTTGGAAGGCAGCCGGAGACCAGCATTGCAGGGCTGCTCAGCACAGCTCTTTAAAGAGCTCATGGCTGGAAAACTAGGAGAACCTTGTTGACTTTGGCTCTGCTGCGGGGAGACCTAACTCCTGCCATAATTCAGCTCCTCTACCCGGCAGCATGAATTCCAGGCTTGGAGCCGGTCCTCTGTACACCAGCCTCTGGGACTTTGATGCCAGGACACTGACAGAAATCAGCTTCCGGGCAGGAGACCTCTTCCAGGTCGTCAGGCAAGAAGGAGAATGGTGGTGGGCCAAGAAAGTCGATGGCTCGAACAGGATCCTAGCAGAAGGTTATGTTCCTTACAATTACTTAGCAGAGCAGGAGACAATGGAGGCAGAATCGTAAGTAAAACCCTGCTGGGGTCAGGAATCTTAACCACTGTTTAATGCTGGAAGATAAGAGGGCTTTGCTTTTGTTAGCCAAATGGCAGTTTAGCCAAGCCAAGCAGTTTTTGGTGTCAGTCTCTGAGCTGATCCATAGATAGTGGCTTGTTTCTGTATAGGAAACTACAGCCCTTTTACAAAGGTTTGGGTTACAATGAAACACTGGGGCAGCATCCCACAAGGGAAGGCCAAAGAGAACCTGTGTCTGACACCCATATGCCCAGCACTGGATGGCAAGGACAGCCTCTGGAAAGGGAAATAGGGAGGGCTAGATATCTAGGGCCTGAGTATCGGCATGCTCTGGCTACCTTCTTTGTGCCATGCCAGTGACCCAGACCAGGCATAACCTCAGGTCAACAAGCTTCATTTATGGCTGTTTTGCCTCGCCAAGATGGTCCTGGGAAGCCTGGTCCCCTACTCTTTGGCTGTGAATCCCAGAGACAGGGAAGGTGTGTA